GAGCACTGAAAAAGAGGTTTTTCTGTCCTATTCAAGACTGAAATCTTTACTTTTAATGATTTCCTTAGTCAATGGCATTCCAAAATTATTGACATGGTACAAAGTACTATTCATGTGTTTGATACATATCACAGAACCCATAGGAGGCTTTTATTTATTCATGAGTCTTAACACCTGGAATTTCTAGAGTACAGACTGGGCCTTAGAATTTTTTGACTCCTCTGATGATTTTAATATTCAGCCAAGGGTGGTATCACTGGTAAAGAGAATACTGCATGTATCAGAATCACTTGGTGGGGAGTTGATAAAAATGCCAAGTGCTCCTCCTGATTTCAGAATCCTGACTATGGTAGGAAGAGAATAGGAGAACTTGATAGTAATCTGTACTTCTTTGTTGATTTGTTTGTTTTGCAGACACAATCCAGGGTCTTGCCCGTGCTAAGCATGTACCCCAGGTACTACCTATACTTTTAAAAAGTAACCAGGTCATTTCCAATGAATACAAAGTTTAATAAGACTGACCTAAACTAACTGTCTTTAGTCAACTCTACATTTCTTAGCTACAAAAAGGCAATGATTATGCTTACCTCCCTGCGTTAAAGTATAAAGGAATACTAATAAATAATCTAAAATAGCATTGTGGTCATTAAATTTAAGCTGAATTAAAATATTTTATGCCACAATTTAAGGCATGAACTTGATATCAGGCTTGCTTACATGCTCATTGAAAACTGGCCTAGAGAAAATTAATGACTTTGTCTTTAGAAAAATGTCTATAAAATTCCTGGCTTTTTGACTAATTTATTAATATCAACTAGGTTTTGAAAGCTGTATATTTCCAGATTTCAACAGGATGAAATAGTCTAGTCAGTAAAACATTAGCAAGCACTTTTTCTTATGGATCCATTACCATGATGAAAAATTTAAGCCAATGTGGGGATGTAAACCTATAGTCCCAGCTAATTGTGAGGCGGAAGCAGAATTGTTTTAAGCTTAGGAATTTGGGGCCAGTCTGGGTAACATAGAAAGACCTGTTATTGAAAAACAAAATTTTTTTTTAAATGGAAAACAACTTCCAAAAGCTAGATCTGAATAAAGAGAAAATACTCTTTCAACTTCAAAACTGTGTCACTTTTATTGAATAATTTTAAAATATAAAAATAAAACTGTCTAATGGCCTCAGAAGATTCTACATTGGCTTTTTTCATATTGAAAATATAATTTAAGAATTATCTAAACAGATTAGAAATCAGATGACTTTGTGGGGATACAGCGCATTTGTAGAGTGCTTGCCTCACATGCAAGTTTCAATCCTTAGCATCATAAAAAAAAAAATCAGATGGCTTAATTTAAATCTTTTGCTTGTTTAATTTCAAATCTTAAAAGTTCTCCAAACAGATGTTATTTATGTCTTAGAATGCCTGTTCCTTAATCCTCTACAATTTATATGAAAAAAGCAGACAAGGAGAATGTATGACACTTACTTATAAGTAGTCATTACATTATGAAATATTTTTCTACATGTATTCTTTAACCTCAGTCAGAAGCTCTGATGTTGCCTGCAAAGAGCACTGTTTAGTATTTTAAAACACATATCTGTACATATATTTATATTCCTGTGCTTAGTTTAATATATATATGGGCATCATTTTCAACATGTATGTATACAATAGGCACATATATTCATATATACGTACACAATTATTACAATTTATGAAAAAATTATACAAGGAAATTCTATGAATATACAAACATCTTTCTTCAAAGTTCCTAAAAATGAAATTTGCACTTCACTTTTCAGTTATCTAAGATTTGGCAAATATTTTGAAAAGCTGCCAGGTCCAAAGAAATCGATGCCTGTATAATTAACACATAAGGAAATAAGACATCTTAGGTTGCAAATGAAATCTTGACAATTCCTTTGAATTTTAACAATCATGATAAGAATTAAGATCACTATGCTCTTTGGCTAAAACAAACATTTTAAAATGTTGATTCAGGATAAAGTAATATGTGAGGGTAAATCTGGAAGCTCAGTAAAAGAATGGATGGTTAAGTCTTAGATTCCTTCTTTCATTGTATTAGTATCCATATAAAAAAACCCTGGAAATTTAAATAGATGCCGATATGTTCACTTTCTATTTCATAATAGCCATTTGTCAATGTTTCTTAAGCAAGCCTATCATTCTTTTTTTAAATATAACACTATCATTTTACAACAGGAAAATATTCAAGTGAAAGCATATGCTTTGGCTTGATGCAGGGTCATTAGGCTAAAAAACCCTAATGTTCTACTTGAATATATTAAAAATAAAGGTAAGATTATACATGAATAGAATCACCTAGTCTGTCCAGATCTTAGATCTGATATGACAAAAGCAATTACCCTTCGAAGTTAAAACTTTTATTTAATGGAAAATGGTTGGCATTTTAACAAATATTCAATATTTCACTTAAAAACTAACTGCTAGATTGCAAAGATGAGTATTATCATTTTTTAAACATAAAAACATTCAAAAATTAAATATATATACTCTTATCAAGATAACTTAATTTATACTTTGTAAAACAAATAATTTTTACCATTCAGCATAAAGATATGACTAAAAGAGCAGAGTTAATTTATTGTGAGGTGGTTGTCCCAAAATCAAGAAGATCTTAGATGACAACCAAAATTTAGTGTGTGCAAAAATGGATCTAGCTATTCCCCATTACCATGGTTGGTGAAAAGAAAATGTACATGGAGTCCTGTACACAGATACAATGACACATTTTAAGGGACTCATTTATAAACTAGGTGGACAACCAGTCTGGCAGAAAATCAAATATGAATATATAAACATCCTATCTGAAGTGGGTAAAGGAATTGGAACTGCTTATCCAGAAAGAACAAAGATTTGGAAGAAAGCCCTCCATCACAATTAACAATAGGCAAGACTGTGACTCAAAAGGGGAGCAGACATAGACATTCATGGCTCACTTCTTCCCGGACTCCCACTTAAAATGACAGGAAAAGAAATAAAAGTGGTGAAACTCTACAACAAAGATCATGGCAGGAGGGGGACATGAGCAAATACAATTTCTAAACTAATATAAAAAAGATAAAGGTGTGCTTGTATGTAAGTAGAACAAAGGAAGATAGTTACACTAAGAAAGATTCCACAGAAGTGTGTTGACTGCCCCCACAGAGTTGAGGTGAGGTTGTGGATTCAGGCCCCAGTGGCAGAGATCAGGCTGATCAGAGGTCTGTTACAGAACTACTGATCACTCCATCTGTGTGAGTGGTGAAGCCTACAGGTGCTCCTCACACTCTACAACAACAAAGGAACAACCAGAAGAAAGAAGGTGTGCTTGGAAATATTAAGTAATATGTAAAAAAAAAAATTTAAAGTAAAAATAAAATAATTAAATTGGAGAGTTGGATCAAAAAGTGGAGGTTTCTCCCAGAAAGCAAAGAAAACCACAGACAGAAAATACTCTATCAAAGAACATAAGTTATAAGAACTTCTAAAATCCAATTAATAGAAATTCATAGCTGGAGAAGGGAGTAAATTGTAAAATAATTAATAAAATAATATTTTTTCAAGTTGAAATATAAGAGGGGTCATGGAATGCTTAGGAGAAAGAAACACAAATTTAAAATGTGGTTATATAATTTCAAAATAACAAGTTAAGGAGAAAATTATAAAAATCTTCAGAAAAAAATGTAGAGCACAACAAATAACAAGGATGTGACCAACATTAGAATCATGTCAGCAACAATGCTAGTTAACGAATGGGTCACTGTTTTTAAAGTTCTGAAAGAAGATATACAAGTTATGACCTAGTTATACCTGATCTATCAAGAATGATGACAGAATTAGACCCACACAGAATGACATTAGGGGGTTAACTGGGGATGAAATTAAGAGAAGAAAACAAAGCTGTTAAATGAGATAGAGGGTCCAGACCAGAAGAGAAATGAAGGCAAGCCCCAAGATAACATTTAACACCAAATCAAGCCAACAACCATCTTGTAGAAACTAGAGCAGAGAAAGATTCTTGGAAGGAAAAACACCAGAAAAACCAAACTCTACAAAGAATGTAAAAGAAAGACATGCAATTGGAAACACAGTAAAAACAAATGTCATGGGCCAAATTAAAGCTGCCAGTGTAAATTAAAACAGGAAGATCATGAACTCTAGAAACAGAATAGATTCCAAGGGATAAACAGCATGGGTAAGAAGCTGAAAGACAATGAAAATATAACAAAGAAAGGCTATTTTATTCTATCAATAAGAACTATGGAGAGTAACTAGGAAATCAGAGCCATAATTCTTCCATACTGACCTGATATTTTAACCACATATAGACATCAGAGATAAACTCTGTATTTGTTCATTCATGAGAGGCAAATTTGGATTCAATATGAGGAATAATGTTATAAACCTTTATTAAAGATGTTAGAAAGTAAAGCAAATGAATCAAAACACCAGAAGAATCCAAGCAGAAATTAAATGATCACCTATATGAGACGCTATAAAAGAAGACAGGAGATTCAACCACATGCTCATTCAACAAATGACTGGAGCTTTCCTAAATCTAAAACACTTTACTACTCACTACTCACTAGGAAATATATTATTATAACAGAAAACAACAGCCTTTTTAGATGTGAGAGCTATTACCCAGGATGAAAAGTTTACTACTAACAAAGCGGAAAAAAAGTAAAAAGAAAGAAGGCACAAGCTGGAATTTATACAACGGAAGAAATCCTAAGAAATGGTAGGTAGTTCATTTGCCCTAAATTCACTTAATTTGTGAAATAACATGAACAAATAGAAAACTTCACAACTTTTATGATAGCCTATGTTAACTTTAATACTATTATATGTTTCATAAGTATAAAGCAATACTTACAATCATTATTCTCTTTTCTAATAATATTAATTTTAAATCAATAAAGTATGATCATGAAAACACCATATTCGGGCAGTTTTATTGCATTTAAAATCTCTTACCAATCATATCCTACAGCAAAAGATGTTTCAATTACAGGAGCAATGAGTTTTGCAGCTGTCATGATGTATTTTTCTGCCATGGCTTTCCTATATCAAACAAACAAAGTTTTATTTAGAAATATGAAACATAAATAGTTAAAATTTAGCTCTTAAAATGTAAGTATAAACATCTGTCAAAGCTAACATACCACAGGAGCTTCTTAAATGATGGACAACTACACAAGAAATATGCTTGCAAGTCAGGTTAAAAAAAATACAATTTGGAAATATGACAAGCAACATGACTGCCATCTGGGTCATCAACGTTTATTCCATTTTCTGCCTGATGATGCCTTCTGACAAACTAAAGAAACAAAGAGACACTACAGAGGCAGCCTGTGTGGCTCTACTGCAGAACTTACATAACCTACAATGTGAACATGAAAGTAAATAGTGAAAATGACCACTGAAGAAATAGTGTGAAGTGAACAGCAAAAATGAATCACTACATGTTTCTTTGAATGCATATGTACATGTATGTGCACGTGTATAGGCATACATATATAAAATCGTACACTGTCCCCAATACTGGAAAATGCCAAATTGTATTTCAAAGTGGACATGCCAATTTATAGTGGTAGATGAATGTTCCTTTAGTCTTTTTTTTCTTGGATTTATAAACACAAGCAGTTTTTTAAATGGACTCAAAATGTATATAACTATTATATAATCTGTATTTATTATACTATATTGTTGTGAAAACAATATTTTTCCAAGTCATTAAACATTAATTCTGTAATTTCTTTCTTTTCATTAAACATTTTGACACTCATAAATTCACATTTATAAAAAAAAGGAATAGGGATACCTTTTACTCTTTACCCTGTTTCTCCAAGGGTATAACATCACAACCAAGATTCTAGCATTGATACAGTGAATATATGGAGTAGTTCCATTATGTTTTCATTCCCTCATGTTATCTTCCTAGCACTCCTCTTCAACTCCTGACAAGCATTAATCTGATCTCCATTTCTCTAACATAATCTTTGGAAAAGGCTATTTTCATAAGATAATTTCCTTCAGATCCACCCAAATTATTGCCATATTAATTTCTTTTTGTTGTTGATTAACATTCCATGTTATATATCAACTGATGCAGAAAAGGCACTAGAAAAACGTCAATACTCATTCATCATAGAAACCTCCAGAAAAATAGGGACAGAATTTTTCAACTTGCTTGAACCATAAGTTTTTTTCCTTAACTAGTTAATATGACTGATATTTAATGAACCAGGCTTGTATCCTTGGAATAAACCCTACTTTTAATTTTTAAAAATGTATTCCTGAATTCTTTTTTTTAAAACAGCTTTATAAAGATATAATTCACATATCAATTTACCAATGTCAAGTCTACAATTTAATGATGTAAGTGTATTCACAGATTTGTGCAACAACCTACCCTAATAAATTTTAGAACATTTTCACAACCTTAAAAAGAAACTCAGTACCAATTAGCAGACACTTTCCTGTGCCTATCAACCACTGATCCACTTTCTGTTTTTATACCTAGTCTTTTTTTCCATTTACCATATTTTCAAGGCTCATCTGTATATAGCATATATTCCATTGTACGGATAGAACATATTTTTAAATTCATGAGTTGTTGGACATTTGGATAATTTCCACTTTTAGATACTATGAATAATGTTACTATGAACATTTGTATACAAATTGTTATGTGAACCATGTTCTAACTGCTTCAGATTATCTACCTAGGACTAAAATTGTTGGGTCACATGATAAGTTTATGTATAAGCTCTTGAGGAAGTTCCAGTCTGTCTTCCAAAAAGTTACAGTACCATTTTATATTCTCACCATCAGCATGAAGGGGGGGGGGGATACCAATTTATCTACCTTCTCACCAATATTTATTATCTGAATTTTGTATTATAATCTAATATTAGTGAAAGGTGGTATTTCATTGCAATTCTGAGTTGCAGTTCCTTAGCAGCTTCTGTGGGTTTTTCATAGAGACACTTTATCTTTTCTTGTGCCTATTCGGCATTAATGTGTCTATTTTGAAAAAAAAGTCTATTCAGATCCTTTGCACATTTTTCTGAACTCCCCAAACCTCAAGTACTCATTTAGTACTACCAATAGGATTTGATGGGAAAATACAGAATAAACAGTTACATTTCATGATTAATTCAAATATTCACATTGTTTTAAAAAATGATAGAATTTTTTTAAAATAATTCTTTTAAAATAATTATTTTAGTTGTCAATAAGCCTTTATTTAATTTATTTATATGCAGTGCTGAGAATGGAACCCAGTGCTTCACCCATGCTAGGCAAGTGCTCTGGCACTGAGCCACAACCCCGGCCCAGAAAGTTAGTTTTGAAATAAAAAGAGACACAAGTTAAACATTTACAACCAGAAATATATGCAATATTTATACCTAACCTTTGCACATTTTAAACTGGATTATTAGACCATTTTTCATTGAGTCGAAAACTTACTTACATAGTTTAGAAATAAGTTCCTTCTTAGATATATGATTTGCAAGTATTTTTCTCTCATTTGGTGGGTTATATTTTCACTGTCTTGATAGTGTTGTTTGAAGGACATAACATTTTTAATTTTGATGATGTACCATTTTTTTTCATCACTTGTGTTTTGTGTCATATTTAGGAAACCACTGCCTAATCCGAGGGTAATATTTAATTTTAGGTGTTTTTATATGAATTTTATAGTTTTAGCTCTCACATCTAGGTCTATGGTTCATTTTGAGGTACTTTTTGTATATGATACGTGGTGAAAGTTTTTTAAGAAAGCAGTCAATCTCATCTCACTTGCTAAATTTGTATGTCTTCTTTTATTATCCTTTTGATGTCTGCAGGATCTGTAGTGATTGTTTTATTCTCAACATTTGTAATTTTGGTCTTCTCTCTTTTCTTGTCAGTCTTGCTAGAATTTATCAATTTTTTTTTTCAAAGAATCAGTTTATTTCCTCTGCAACCTTCTTGAATTCATTTATTAATTGTAATGATAGTTTTTTGGTGAACTATTACTATTAAATATGATCTAACTGTGGGTTTTTCATAGAGACACTTTATCACATTGAGGAACTTCCTTTCTACTTCTTGCTTTTTAAGATTTTTGTTTGGGTTTTTTGTAATCATGAAAGAATTTTGGATTGCACTGAATTTGCAAATAGATTTGGGGAGAAAATAGATATTTTCTATTGTTACTGTTTTCAATAAATTGTTTTTATTCCTCTATAAGCTTTCTGGATTCTGATGATATAAATGTTAGATCTTTTATTAGAAGTCCCACAGTTCCCTGGGGTACTGCTCATTTTTTTATACTGGTTCTTTTTAGTTATATATGACAGTAGAATCCATTTTAATTTAATTACATAAGCATGACTTATTCTAATTAGGAGCCCATTTTTGTGGATATACATGATAATAAGATTCACTGTGGTGTATTCATACATGTGATTGCAAAATTATGTCAGATTTATCCCATTGTCTTTCCTTTTCCTATCCCCCATCTTTTTCCTTCATTCCCCTTTGTCTAATCCACTGAATTTATTTTATTCCCTTCCCCCGCATTGTGGGTTAGCTTCCACATATCATTTAAAACATTTGACCTTTGGCTTTTAGGGACTGACTTATTTCACTTAGCATAATAGTCTTCAGATACATCCATTTACTGGCATATGTCGTAAAGAAATTCTTCTTAATGGCTGAGTCACACTCATACATTGCTGGTGAAACTGAAAATTGGTGCAACTATTCTGGGAAGCAGTATGGAGATTCCTAAAAAAACTAGGAATGGAACCACCATTTGACCCAGTTATCTCACTACTGAGTATATGCCCAAGGATTTTAAATCATTTTATTTTTTTTAGTCTAGTTCCACTCTACAGATTAGACTAGGTAATTTTTGTTTTCTATATTCCAGTTCACTCTTTCCCCTATCCCCTCTATTCTATCAATGGGTCTATCCATGGACCTTCGATTATCATATTTTTCAGTTCTAAAATTTCCATGTGCTGCTTGTTTATATCTTCTATTTCTTTGCTGAGATTCTGTTTGTTTTCTGAAGCTTTCTATTTTTTCCATGTTTTAAGCATGCTTATAACTGTTTATTGAAGCCTTTTTATCATGGTTGTTTTAAAAATCTGCCAGATAATTCTAACATCTTTGTCATCTTAATGTTGCCATATAACAATTCTCTTTTTTAATTTAGTTCAAGTTTTCCTGGGTTTTCTGAGGGGGTATAACAAGTGATTCCTGATGGAGATTTGGACATTTTTATTATGAGAATCTGGACTATTTTAGCTGGTTTTCTTGGCACCATTCTAACACAAACAGGAAGGTGAAAGTGCAAGTCTAGATTCCCCACAAAGACCCCTGAATCGGGTAGGGGGGTGGGTGGATGGGGGGTATAGCTTCCTGCTTCTGCTGTGCAGGGTGGAAGTTCCTGCTACATGGTCTCTACTAAGACCCTGGTGAGAAACCTTGTTATCACTTGGCAAGATTAAAGGCTCCACTCTCCACTATACCTCCCTCCTTCAACATCACCCTAGGAAAGACTGGTAGGGATACTTCATTACTGCTGAGAGGGGTAGAATTCAGACTGTCCATACGGCATCCACTGACAACAAAGAGGAATGGGATTTGTTAATAGTCTTTGAGGATGACAGTCCTGGTCCCCTGCCTAGCCTTTTCTGATATTATCCTTGTGGGGTATTGAGGTGCTTTTCTTATAGCACAGCCTCACAAAGGTGTGAGTCTAGGTTTACTTTATTCAGATTTTGCTGGTGTCGGTGGGAGTGCAGCCAATTCTTTCCGTGGTATTTCTCTAAAAGTTGTCTATCTTGCTAGTCTACCCCCTGTCCTGGTTTGTTTGCTAGAGAAAACAGGCTTTTCTTAAGATTTTTTTTTTCTTTTTTTAAGAGCACCTATAAGGATTTTCTGATTGCCAGTTCTTTAGCTCCAAGTCTGGGATGTTCATTGCATCCCCAGGACCCTTGCTGATCTGTCCTCCTCTTTTTGCCTTTCTTGTATTTGCTTTACATATAACTTCCAGAGTTTTTAGTTGTACTTAATGAGAAGAATACAAAAAAGGGCTGGGATTGTGGCTCAGCGGTAGAGTTCTCGCCTAGCACATGCAAGGTGCTGGGTTCGATCCTCAGCATCACATAAAAAATACAAAAATGTATGTCTATTTTATCTTTCCAGAAGCCTCTCTTCAATTTAAAACTAATTCTTAAAGATTACTGCCCTCCATACATAAAATGAAGTATTATAAAAAGGAAGGAGATCTCGATACATACTACAACATGAATGAACCTTGAGGACACTATGCTAAGTGCAAAAAGCCAGTCACAAAAAGAAAAAAAAAATGTGAGATTCAACTTACATTAGAACACTCAAAATCATAGAGAGCAGAATAGTATTGCTAAGGGATGGAATGTGGGAGCAAAAAATGGGGAGCTATTGCTTAATAGGTAAGAGTTTCAGTTCTGCAAGATGAAGAAAGTCCTCAAGATCAGTCATATAATAGTGTGAATGTACTTAACACTTCAGATGATAAATTTTATGTTATATATTTTACCACAATTAAAAGAAAATAATTAAGGGCTTTCTACCATGTAATGTACTCCTAATTTATCTACTGCATGTTCACTAAATTTAAAATTTTCAAAATGAGATACGGTTTGAGGGATACAGAAAAAAGAAAAAAAGAAAAATCTGAGTCTCAAAAGAAAACCACGGGATACAGAAAAAGATACGACCAGTCTCAAAAGAAAAATGTTCACAAACCACAAGAATACGAAATAAGCAACTTTTTTTTTTTTTTCCTTTTTAGGTGCTGGTGATTGAACCCATGGCTACTTTACCATCAGACTATATCCCCAGCCATTTAAAAAAATAATAATTTTTAATTTTTATTTTTGCAGTGCTGGGGATCAAACTCAGGGCCTCATGCATGTTAGATAAGCACTTAATCATGAAGCTACATTCCTAGCTCTATTTAACTTCCTGAGTTACTGGGATCACAGGTGTGATTACATAAACAACTCTTTTTTAAACTCTTTTTTTTTGGGGGGGGGGGCGTCACTGGGGATTTAATTCAGGGGCACTCAATTGCTGAACCACATTTCCAGACCTATTTTGTATTTTATTTAGAGCCAGAGTTGCACTGAGTTGCTCAGCACCTGAACTCACAATCCTCCTGCCTCAGTCTCCATAGCCGCTGGGATCATAGACTAGGCACCACTGCACCTAGCTTAAACTCTTGATTAAGAAAGCAACTCTTGATAATCCAGCCCAATCTCTTGCGTACAAAAAGTTTCATGATATGAGGGCAATGCCCAAGTACTAGAAATATTGGCACAAAACTGCATAATTCTATCCTGACTCCACCTTTAGTCCGGTTTCTAGTTACTATCTCTCTATAAAAATTAATAACCGAGACCAAGGGGTTGCTGATTTCTCATTCTCAAAAGATGGCCCACATTCTCCCTTGAATGTATATTCCTTGCTTTACCAAAAGGGTCTCACTCTCAATACAGCCTCCATTCTCCCTGAATGTACCTCTGCTTTCCTAAATAAATCTCTGTTTGTGCCTCTAACAGATGCATCCTTAAATTCATGTTTGTCAAGAGCCCCACTCAATTTTGAGTTGAGGTACTCCTCTCCAAAAACTCCTTGGACTTTCTCCAGTGATAAAATTATACTTGGCAGAGACCAAGTACATGTGATATTGTGATAGAAATATATTTGGTATTCATTCTGGTACCTGGCAAAGAGCTCTTGGAATCTTCTGAATGATGGAAGTGCCTTTTGTTAATTATAATGAGCCCCTTTTAACCATACTTGACTTTATGTTAATGAGGTGACTTCATATTAGCCCATAGAAAGTTTCAAAATGGGGCTTGGTTGCCACTGGAATCAACCATACATATGATCGAAGAGTTGGAACTTTCAGTCCCACCCCTCAACCTCCAGAGGGAAGAGGGGTTAGAGACTAAGTTTCATCATCAAAGGCTAATGATATCATCAGTCTTGCCTATATATATATTGAACCTCAGTATAGAAGACCTCCAAGATGGGGAACACATGGAGGTACTAGGAGGGTGGCACACCTGGAGAGGATATGGACACTCTCATACCTTGCCCTATTCATCTCTTCCATTTGGTTATTCCTGAGTTACATTCTTTTTTTTTTTTTCCGGATTCACTGGGGATTGAACTCAGAGGCACTCAACCACTGAGCCACATCCCCAGCCTTATTTTGTATTTTATTTAGAGACAGGGTCTCAATGAGTTGCTCAGTGTCTCACTTTTTGCTGAGGCTGGCTTTGAACTCTTGATCTTCCTGCCTCAGCCTCCCAATCTGCTGGTATTACAGTTATGCGCCACCACACCTGGCTCTGAATTGCATTCTTTATAATAAACTGGTAAATAAAAACAAAGTGTTTTCCTGAGTTCCATAAGCTCTTGCAGTAAATTACTGAACTCAAGGAGGAGGTGGTAGAAACCCCTAATTTATAGTCTGTTGATCAGAAGTACAGGAAGCCCTGGGTTTGTAACTGGTATCTGTAGTCAGGAGTGGACTCTGAATAAACTCTGAATAGTTAGTGTCAGAACTGAATTGTTGGACATTCAGTTGGTAACTGAATGTTGGATCATTTATTCTTGATGTGGGAAAACCCCCTATATTTGGTGAAGGAAGTACAGATTATAGTTCCATATTAAAGGAAGAAAAGAATGAAGTAAATATATATTTTTTTCTCTCAGTCTTGGTATTTAATTGGGAGGCATAACAAAAATATGTAAGGACATAATTTTTTAAATAATGGTGATATAAACCAAATTCCAATATTATACCAAATGCAGAGAGAAAGAGTAGGAATAAGTAAGTAAGAATATTGGGATCAGTATGAGAACTGAGATTATTTTGAAGGAGAAAAAGGAATCCAAAAAGTAATGAAATGGTAAAACAACAACACTATTTAAGAAATATATTGAATAAAACAAATTTTGTAAGAAACAATAAAATGCATATTCGATCATTTTAGAGAAATTAAAACTTCACTATCAAGAACCCAAAATATTACCTTTCACGTTCCATTTGCCTGAGATGATCATTTTTTATAGCTTCAATCACTAGGTTTGTATGGGGATCATCCTGAGAAAAGCAATTGAAAGAAAAAATTCAGAAGTAAATGCTAAAAACTTGAATTTGTAATCAAAATCCCAACTAATTGTATAAAATGGAGAGTAAATAAATCTTTCAAAAATATTTTCCCTAATAAAATGCATTTCTTTTTCCTTTTCTTACTTCCGATCACCTATTACATTCTCTAAGGAGCTAGAATACATTCTGAACAGCTGCTACAAGGGTCAGGCTAGAAAGAACAGGAACACAGAGAAGCTGTGGTTGTTAGTATAAATACATGATGTTATAAATTTAAAACTCAAATATATATGCTTTCATGATTATCAACTCCTTAGTATAATCCATGCTGTTATTTCCAGTTGATAATACAGACAGGAGTTCAGGATGTCAATAATACAGCACTCGCCTAGCATGCACAAGTCCCTGGGTTCAATCCCTAACACTGCAAAAATATTTTAAAATGTGACTTTTTCACAACATAGATTCTTTTTTTTTTTGCAATATGAAAATAATACATAATTAACATTTACCTAGCGCTTACTATGTTCAAGGTATGATTTTAAGCATTTTGTAAATTTAATCCTTATAACACTACAAGGTAGGTCATTATAATTAGTACCATTTTATACATAAAGGACCTGAGGCACAAGGAAGGAGACGGAAGAATAGAATGGTGAAACTAGGCATATGGCTTGAGTCTACATTGTCCATGAAACTAAAGATATTATGCCATTTTAACCTATAAATATAGGCGATTTAACATTTTGACTTACATAAAATTTACATATAAAAATCTGGAAAATGTTTTTAAAGTGTTAAAAAAAATCTAATTGCCCAGAATATAATTGAGTATTCTTTCAGTTTCTGTTCATGTATAGGTGTGTATCTATCTGTACTTTTTCACCTAACACTATATAATATTCCCCTAGACCTTTAAAAATAAGACTTTTGAGAGCTGTATTTTGCTTTACTCTCAAATAAAGATAAGGAATTAATTTTTTTTCCACTGTTGACATAGTTAGTACAGATTTTTTTAGGTTTCTCTGCTTAACAATGATTTTTTTTTTTTAACCAGTGATTGAATTTAGGGGTGCTTAACCACTGTGCCACTATCTAGCCCCCCCACCACTTTTAAATTTTTTTATTTTGAGACAGGGTCTTGCTAAGTTAATTAGGGCCTTGCTTAGTTGCTGAGGCGGGCTTTGAACTTGAGATCCTCCTGCTTCAGCCTCCTAAGCTACTGGTATTACAGGCATGTGCCACCACACCTGGCTTAACAATGATTTTTAAAACATCAAAGGATTTTAGGTTCCATAGTCAAGATGTTACTTTCAATGAATGACATTATTATTTTTAATACAATTCTTTTAGTTTTGACTAAAACTGTGCAGTATGTTTTAACCAAAATCTCTAGCCCTATTTCAATAGATCTAACTGAAATAACAAATTAAATATATCAGTGATAAAAAACATTAATATAGGTCTGTAAAAAAACTCAAGAAGTCATCAATTCTAATTTGCTCATTTCTAGAAACAGGAAAAAACAGTTAAGTAGGAGACGGCTTTTTCTTTTTAAGTATTTTTTTTTTTAGTTGTAGATGAACACAATACCTTTATTTTATTTTATTATTATTTTTTTTAATGTGGTGCCTGGGATTGAACCCAGTGCCTCATGCATGCTAGGCAAGCGCTCTACCACTTTTAAATACTTAAAAAGAAAAATGTCTTTTTCTTTTTAAGTATTTTTTTTAGTTGTAGATGGACACGATACCTTTATTTTATTTACTTATTTATTTTTATATGGTGCCAGGGATTGAACCCAGTGCCTCACGCATGCTAGACAAGTGCTCTACCACTGAGCCACAATCTCAGCCCCTTTAACTTTTTCATACTCACACTTGGTGAAATATATTTATCATCTTCATCAATTTCTAACGGAACAGCAATCAATTTTTGGAATGCCTTCTTCATTTTTTCTCGGTCTCCAATGGCAAAATAACTAAGAATTAGGTTGAAGCCTGCTTTCAGATTTGGTGCCATGCTCATTATATGCTCAAATGAATTAATGGCATCTGAATATTGACCAGTTTTAATAAATGTAACACCAATATTCTGCATTATTTTAATCCTAAACAAAAATAAACATAGATTAGCATTAAAAGTTTGAATTCTTCAGTATGGCATTCAAGCCATTCCTGTTTTTCTTTTTCATTTTATTTCTTTTTTATTTTATTAAAGCCTTATTATAGTATAGTATACATAATATACATACCAAAAAGTTTGCTTATTATTTAAGTATGTGATTCAATGATTACTTCTATATTTACACTGTTGTGGAACTATAACCACATATTTATTTTAAGTCATTTCTACTACCTTAAAAAGAAAACCTGTGCTTATTAATAGTCATTCTCCATTCTGTTAGCCATAGGAAACCATTAATCTACTTTCTGTTTTTCCTAAGCATTGTATGTAAGTGGAATTGCATGATATGTAATACTCTGTGTTAGCATAATCCTTCCGCAGTTCCTCCATATTGCAGCAAGTATCAGTACTTTGCTCCTTTTGTATTGTCAAATAGTATTCTTTTTTTTTTTAAATTTTTTATTGTTGGCTGTTCAAAACATTAGTTATTGATATATCATATTTCACAATTTGATTCAAGTGGGTTATGAGCTCCCATTTTTACCCCATATACAGATTGCAGAATCACATCAGTTACACATCCATTGATTTACATATTGCCATACTAGTGTCTGTTGTATTCTGCTGCCTTTCCTATCCTCTACTATCCCCCCTCCCCTCCCCTCCCCTCCCCTCCCCTCCCCTCCCCTCCCCTCTTCTCTCTCTGCTCCCTCTACTGACATTCGTTTGTCCCCCTTATATTATTTTTCCCCTTCCCCTCACTTCCTCTTGTATGTACTTTTGTATAACTCTGAGGGTCTCCTTCCATTTCCATGCATTTTCCCTTCTCTCTCCCTTTCCCTCCCACCTCTCATCCCTGTTTAATGTTAATCTTCTTCTCATGCTCTTCGACCCTACTCTGTTCTTAGTTACTCTCCTTATATCAAAGAAGACATTTGGCATTTGTTTTTTAGGGATTGGCTAGCTTCACTTAGCATAATCTGCTCTAATGCCATCCATTTCCCTGTAAATTCTATGATTTTGTCATTTTTTAATGCAGAGTAATACTCCATTGTGTATAAATACCACATTTTTTTTTATCCATTCATCCATTGAAGGGCATCTAGGTTGGTTCCACAGTCTAGCTATTGTGAATTGTGCTGCTATGAACATCGATGTAGCAGTGTCCCTGTAGCATGCTCTTTTTAGGTCTTTAGGGAATAGACCGAGAAGGGGAATAGCTGGGTCAAATGGTGGCTCCATTCCCAGCTTTCCAAGAAATCTCCATACTGCTTTCCATATTGGCTGCACCAATTTGCAGTCCCACCAGCAATGTACAAGTGTACCCTTTTCCCCACATCCTCGCCAGGACTTGTTGTTGTTTGACTTCATAATGGCTGCCAACCTAACTGGAGTGAGATGGTATCTTAGGGTGGTTTTGATTTGCATTTCTCTGACTGCTAGAGATGGTGAGCATTTTTTCATGTACTTGTTGATTGATTGTATGTCCTCCTCTGAGAAGTGTCTGTTCAGGTCCTTGGCCCATTTGTTGATTGGGTTGTTTGTTCTCTTATTGTCTAATTTTTTGAGTTCTTTGTATACTCTGGATATTAGGGCTCTATCTGAAGTGTGAGGAGTAAAGATTTGTTCCCAGGATGTAGGCTCCCTATTTACCTCTCTTATTGTATCTTTTGCTGAGAAAAAACTTTTTAGTTTGAGTCAGTCCCATTTGTTGATTCTAGTTATTAACTTTTGTGCTATGGGTGTCCTATTGAGGAATTTGGAGCCCGACCCCACAGTATGTAGATCGTAGCCAACTTTTTCTTCTATCAGACGGCGCGTCTCTGATTTGATATCAAGCTCCTTGATCCATTTTGAATTAACTTTTGTGCATGGCGAGAGAAAGGGATTCAGTTTCATTTTGTTGCATATGGATTTCCAGTTTTCCCAGCACCATTTGTTGAAGATGCTATCCTTCCTCCATTGCATGCTTTTAGCCCCTTTATCAAATATAAGGTAGTTGTAGTTTTCTGGATTGGTTTCTGTGTCCTCTATTCTGTACCATTGCTCCACCCGCCTGTTTTGGTACCAGTACCATGCTGTTTTTGTTACTATTGCTCTGTAGTATAGTTTGAAGTCTGGTATCGCTATACCGCCTGATTCACACTTCCTGCTTAGCATTGTTTTTGCTATTCTGGGTCTTTTGTTTTTCCATATGAATTTCATGATTGCTTTCTCTATTTCTACAAGAAATGCCGTTGGGATTTTGATTGGCATTGCATTAAACCTATAGAGAATTTTTGGTAATATCGCCATTTTGATGATGTTAGTTCTATCCATGAACAGGGTATATTTTTCCATCTTCTAAGATCTTCTTCTATTTCTCTCTTTAGGGTTCTGTAGTTTTCCTTGTATAAGTCTTTCACCTCTTTTGTTAGGTTGATTCCCAAGTATTTTATTTTTTTTGAAGATATTGTGAATGGAGTGGTTGTCCTCATTTCCATTTCAGAGGATTTGTCGCTGATATACAGGAATGCCTTTGATTTATGCGTGTTGATTTTATATCCTGCCACTTTGCTGAATTCATTTATTAGCTCTAATACTTTCTTTGTAGACCCTTTTGGGTTTGCTAGGTATAGAATCATGTCATCTGCAAATAGTGATAATTTAAGTTCTTCTTTTCCTATTTTGATGCCTTTAATTTCTTTCGTCTGTCTAATTGCTCTGGCCAGTGTTTCGAGAACTATGTTGAACAGAAGTGGTGAGAGAGGGCATCCCTGTCTTGTTCCAGATTTTAGAGGGAATGCCTTCAGTTTTTCTCCATTCAGAATGATGCTAGCCTGAGGCTTAGCATAGATTGCTTTTACAATATTGAGGTATGTTCCTGTTATCCCTAGTTTTTCTAGAGTTTTGAACATAAAGGGATGCTGTACTTTGTCGAATGCTTTTTCCGCATCTATCGAGATGATCATATGATTCTTATTTTTAAGTCTATTGATGTGGTGAATAACATTTATTGATTTCCGTATATTGAACCAGCCTTGCATCCCAGGGATGAATCCTACTTGATCATGGTGCACAATTTTTTTGATAAGTTTTTGTATCCGAGTGGCCAGAATTTTATTGAGGATTTTTGCATCTAGGTTCATTAGAGATATTGGTCTGTAGTTTTCTTTCTTTGAAGTGTCTTTGTCTGGTTTAGGTATCAGGGTGATGTTGGCTTCGTAGAATGAATTTGGAAGTTCTCCCTCTTTTTCTATTTCCCGAAGTAGCTTGAAAAGTATTGGTATTAGTTCCTCTTTAAAGGTTTTGTAAAACTCTGCTGTATACCCATCCGGTCCTGGGCTTTTCTTAGTTGGTAGTCTTTTGATGGTTTCTTCTATTTCCTCAATTGATATTGGTCTGTTTAGGTTGTCTATGTCCTCCTGACTCAATCTGGGCAGATCATATGACTTAAGAAATTTATCTGTGCCTTCACTATCTTCTAATTTATTGGAGTATAAGGATTCAAAATAATTTTTGATTATCTTCTGTATTTCTGAAGTGTCTGTTGTGATATTGCCTCTTTCATCCCGTATGTTAGTAATTTGAGTTCTCTCTCTTCTTCTCTTCGCTAGCATGGCTAAGGGTCTGTCGATTTTGTTTATTTTTTCAAAGAACCAACTTTTAGTTTTGTCAATTTTTTCAATTGTTTCTTTTGTTTCGATTTCATTAATTTCAGCTCTGATTTTCATTATTTCTTGCCTTCTACTTCTTTTGCTGTTGTTTTGCTCTTCTTTTTCTAGGATTTTGAGATGAAGTATGAGATCATTTATTTGTTGGTTTTTCCTTTTTTTAAGGAATGAACTCCAAGCAATGAATTTTCCTCTTAGAACTGCTTTCAATGTGTCCCATAGATTCCGATATGTTGTGTCTGTGTTTTCATTAATCTCTAAGAATTTTTTAATTTCTTCCTTGATGTCTTCTATAACCCATTGATCGTTCAGTAACCTATTGTTCATTCTCCAAGTGATGTATTCTTTTCCCTTCCTTCTTTTATCGTTGATTTTCAGTTCCATTCCATTATGATCAGATAGGATGCATGGTATTATCTCTACTCCTTTATATTGTCTAAGAGTTTCCCTGTGACATAATATATGATCTATTTTTGAGAAGGATCCATGTGCTGCTGAGAAAAAAGTGTAACTGCTTGATGTTGGGTGGTATATTCTATATATGTCAATTAAGTCTAGGTTATTAATTGTGTTATTGAGTTCTATAGTTTCCTTATTCAACTTGTTTTTGGAAGATCTGTCCAGTGGTGATAGAGGTGTGTTGAAGTCTCCCATGATTATTGTATGGTGGTCTATTAGACTCTTGAACTTGAGAAGAGTTTGTTTGACGAACATAGCTGCACCATTGTTTGGGGCATATATATTTATGATTGTTATGTCTTGTTGGTGTATGGTTCCCTTGAGCAGTATGTAGTGTCCCTCTTTATCCCTTTTGATTAACTTTGGCTTGAAATCTATTTTATTTGATATGAGTATGGATACTCCTGCTTGTTTCCGAAGTCCATATGAGTGATATGATTTTTCCCAACCTTTCACCTTCAGCCTATGTATGTCTTTTCCTATCAAATGCGTCTCCTGTAGGCAGCATATTGTTGGGTCTTGTTTTGTGATCCATTCTACTAGCCTGTGTCTCTTGATTGGTGAGTTTAAGCCATTAACATTTAGGGTTATTATTGAGATATGGGTTGTTCTTCCAGCCATATTTGTTTATTTATGTTACTAAACATGGTTTGTTTTCCTCTTTGATTATTTTCCCCCCTTTAGTGTCCTACCTCCCACTGTTGGTTTTCATTGTTATTTTCCATTTCCTCTTCCTGTAATGTTTTGCCAAGGATGTTTTGAAGAGATGGTTTTCTAGCTGCAAATTCTTTTAACTTTTGTTTATCGTGGAAGGTTTTAATTTCATCTTACATCCTGAAGCTTAATTTCACTGGAAACACAATTCTTGGTTGGAACCCATTTTCTTTCAGTGTTTGAAATATGTTATTCCAGGATCTTCTAGCTTTCAGAGTCTGTGTTGAAAGATCAGCTGTTATCCTGATTGGCTTACCCCTAAATGTGATCTGCTTCCTTTCTCTTGTAGCTTTTAAAATTCTCTCCTTATTCTGTATGTTGGGCATCTTCATTATAATGTGTCTAGGTGTGGGTCTCTTATGATTTTGCACATTCGGCGTCCTGTAGGCTTCTAGGATTTGGGGTTCTGTCTCATTCTTCAAGTCTGGGAAGTTTTCTCGTATTATTTCATTGAATAGATTGCTCATTCCTTTGGTTTGAAACTCTGTCCCTTCCTGTATCCCAGTGACTCTTAAATTTGGTCTCTTGATGTTATCCCATATTTCTTGGATGTTCTGCTCATGGTTTCTTAACAGTCTTGCTGAGCTGTCTATGTTCTTTTCAAGTTGAAATACTTTATCTTCATTGTCTGATGTTCTGTCTTCTAAGTGTTCTACTCTGCTGGTAGTATTCTCAATTGAGTTTTTAAGTTGGCTTATTGCTTCCTGCATTTCTAGGATTTCTGTTTGTTTGTTTTTTATAACCTCTATTTCCCTGTATAGTTGATCTTTTGCTTCTTGGATTTGTTTATGTAATTCATTGTTGAAGTGATCTTTCATTGTCTGATTTTGCTGTCTGATGTCTTCCTTGAGACTCCAGATCATCTGAAGCATGTATATCCTGAATTCTTTATCTGACATTCCATCTGCTGCAGCTATTACCTCTTCTAACGTTGAGTTGACCTGCAATGCTTGTGGTCCTTTCTTTCCTTGTCTCTTCATACTGTTTGCGTTCCTTTCTACTTGGTGAAACTGTTGTGCTATCGAATTTTCCCCCTATATATTTATATTGGTCTTGTATAGTTGCAAAGTCTCCCTCGCAGGCGCGGGCGGCGGCTCTGTCCCTCTGCGGGCCGCTAGGCTTGTTCTGTCGGTGGTCACAGTTCTGTCTACTTTGCAGGCGCAGGCAGCGGCACTGCCCCTCTGCAGGACTCTGGGGCTGTACTGCCAGTGGGTCGCAGGTCCGCCTACCTTGCAGGCGCGGGGGGGGGGGGGCGGCTCTACCCTTCCTCAGGCCACTGGGCCTGTTCTGTCTCTCGGTTGCAGGTCTGGCCTGTTCTGATGGTGGTCACAGTTCCGTCTACCTTGCAGGCGCGGGGGGGAGGGGGTGGCTCTGCCTCTCAGCAGGCCGCTGCTCCTCTTCTGCCGGTGGGTCGCAGGCCCGCCTACCTTGCAGGAGTGATTGGAAGCTGTGCCACTCCGCGGGCCACTGGGCCTTTTCTGTCAGTGGTCACAGTTCCGCCTACCTGACAGGCGCGGGGGGTGGGGGGCGGCTCTGCCCCTCAGCAGGCCGCTGGGCCTGTTCTGTGGGTGGTCACAGTTCCCTCTACCTTGCCGGCGCAGGGGGAGGGGGCGGCTCTGCCTCTCAGCAGGCCGCTGCTCCTCTTCTGCCGGTGGGTCGCAGGCCCGCCTACCTTGCAGGAGTGATTGGAAGCTCTGTCCCGCCGCGGGCCACTGGGCCTTTTCTGTCCGTGGTCATAGTTCCACCTACCTGGCAGTCGCGGGGGGTGGGGGGCGGCTCTGCCCCTCAGCAGGCCGCTGGGCCTGCTCTGTGCGTGGTCACAGTTCCCTCTACTTTGCCGGCACAGGGGGAGGGGGCGGCTCAGCCTCTCAGCAGGCCGCTGCTCCTCTTCTGCCGGTGGGTCGCAGGCCCGCCTACCTTGCAGGAGTGATTGGAAGCTCTGTCCCGCCGCGGGCCACTGGGCCTTTTCTGTCCGTGGTCACAGTTCCACCTACCTGGCAGGCACGGGGGGTGGGGGGCGGCTCTGCCCCTCAGCAGGCCGCTGGTCCTGCTCTGTGCGTGGTCACAGTTCCCTCTACCTTGCCGGTGCAGGGGGAGGGGGCGGCTCTGCCTCTCAGCAGGCCGCTGCTCCTCTTCTGCTGGTGGGTTGCAGGCCCGCCTACCTTGCAGGAGTGATTGGAAGCTCTGTCCCGCCGCGGGCCACTGGGCCTTTTCTGTCGGTGGTCACAGTTCCACCTACCTGGCAGGCGCAGGGGGTGGGGGGCGGCTCTGCCCCTCAGCAGGCCGCTGGTCCTGCTCTGTGCGTGGTCACAGTTCCCTCTACCTTGCCGGTGCAGGGGGAGGGGGCGGCTCTGCCTCTCAGCAGGTCGCTGCTCCTCTTCTGCCCGTCAAATAGTATTCTATACTATGGATATATACTGTATTTTACTTAACCATCGCCAACTTGATAGCTCTTTCAGTTATTTACACTTTTTGGCTATTATGATTAATGCTATTATGAACATTTGTGTATAAACCTTTGTGATAACAAACTTTCATCTCTTGGACATACACCTAAAAATGGAATTGCTGGTCATATAATATGTTTAACTTTTAAGAAAATACCCAAGTATTTTCCAAAGTAGCTGCACCATTTTACATATGTAATATATAAGGTTTCAGATGTCCCATGATCTTCATACATACTTGCTATTTTCTATCATTTTGAATAGAGCCATCCTCCAGGATGTGATCTGACCTTATTTCCAACTACTCTGACATGAACCTACTGTTTCAACAAATTTATTCAAAATTAGTTTATCAGATCACAAATAATTACTCATCTCATAGCATTCTTTTTTCTGGAATGTTGTCCCTTTTGTCACTTAAGTAACCTATCTCAAGTATACCTATTTCAAAAAGTCTTCCTTTCTTTCTTTCTTTTTTGTTTCTTTTTTGGTATGGGGGATTGAACCCAAGGGCGCTCAACCACTGAGTCATATCCCCAACCCCCCCTTTTAATTTTTTTTGTAGTTGTAGATGGACAGAATGCCTTTATTTATTTTTATGTGGTGCTAAGGATCGAGCCCAATGCCTTACAAATGCTAGGCACTGAGCTATAGACTCAGCCCTTTTTTATATTTTACTTAGAGAAAGGGTCCCACTAAGTTGCTTAGGGCCTTGTTAAGTTGCTGAGGCTGGCTCTGAACTCACAATCTTCCTGCCTCAGCCTCCTGAACTGCTTGGATTACAGGCATGTGTCACTGTACCTGGCTGAGTCTTTCTTGACCACTATTATTTTCAATATTTATTCCCTTGGCTGAATTAATACAGTACCATTGTCTCAACTATTGATTATTAAGTATGGAAATGCCACCTAATATTATTATCTTTTTCTAAAATGCTCAAATTCTTGGTCTCACCTGGATTAAAAGTACCTCAAGCCTACTGTCATGTATAATTAAAAAGAATTAAAAAAAAAATTTTTTTTAAGTACCTACAGGGGGCTGGGGCTGGGGCTCACCGGTAGAGCGCTCACCTACCATATGCGAGGCCCTAGGTTCAATCCTCAGTACCATATAAAAATAAATAAATAAAATAAAGATATTGTGTCCAACTACAATTTAAAAAAAATAAAGTACCTAAAGGGTACATTGTGTCTTATAAGCTAGATTTTGCTGATGATAATTAAATACCATGCAAAATTCAAAACCAAATGATTATAAATAAATTGTCACAGAGGAAATGTCCCCTGTTCCTAGGGGAAATCATTACCTGTAAACATACTGTGTCTGAATATAATAGAAAATATTGTGGGAATATGAAGTATTCCAACATCCTCCCTCCTCTTCTAAGGATCAAAAATAATCCCATCCTTTCACTACCTCACTCTCAAAATATAGAAACAATGTGAGGTAGTTCTAAGTTTCTAGACTTGTTTTCTAATCTGATACATTCTGTAGAAATGCTATTCTGATTATTTGTTGACATTAATTTGTATCATCGTACTAACGGCTTGCAGAGTGAATCTCTATATTGGTCAATTAGCTTAGTTTTATTTCACTTGATCACAAACTATGCATTTAATCTTTAACTTGTCACTATACAAGTGTACACAAGTACTCACAAGTGAATAAAACAAAATATTTCACAGATAACATAAATCCAATAACTCTCATATATAAACACTTCAAAATGTTTAACCACTAACCAAAGATCAGAACATCTATCTTGTTTCTGAAAAACAACAACTTAAATTTTACAGTAATCTTGGTGATTGCTTACCTCATTTCTTTATGAACACTTGGGATTTGGTCTAAGGCCATTCGGTAGAACTTAATGGCTTTGGAATAATTTCTTTGTTTTAAGTAAATATTTCCCATATTCACTTTCAGTCTCCCTAATTAAAAAAAAAGAATGTATAATATTCTTATTTTTGCACTTTTTCTATGATATTGTAGATGATCTTAATTCATATTCTCTGATGTTCTTAAGTTATAAAGTTTTAGACATTACCTAAAAATCTAATTTTAAAATAGTTATACTGTTTCATGTATTCAAACATTCGTTTCTGAGAGGCAATGAAACTTAAGATAGTAGATGTCTGAAAGTATGGTTGGAAAGAAAATGACTTACATTATAAAACCGAAAGTATATTCTGCTAAAAAAAAAAAAAGTGAGATTATATGGCATTTTAAAATTAGACTAAAAAATGTCACACACATTTTAATATGATGTTAAAAGGAAATGATATTCTGATAAACTTTAATATTGCAACTAAAAATTTATATAATATAAATGCTAAATATAAACTCTAGTCTATTGGGACATATTTACAGATGGCAAAGCATATTCTATGGGGATGCCATGGCTCATTCTACCTGTGGTAACAGAACACATTTTTTGTTTACCATTATGTAACATACTTCATACCAACCATATTTCTTCATTTGTATTTGTATGGATTTTCACATACAGTATCTCTAAGAAGGATACCTCATCATAAATACAAATTTGCTTAGAGCATAGATCATTTCATTATAAGGAAGCATAAAGTAGGGAGATATAAATTAACACTACAAAAGAGTTATGCCTATTGGCAAAACTGATTATACACCTACCTGCATTGCTAAACATCTTGTTTTTCACTATAACTTGATATGTGTTTAGTGCTTCTGCATACATTTCATTAGCTGAATACTGACTGGCCAAGTTGAAAAGAACCTAAGGAAGAAACAATGGCAAAAAGACATAATGATTATATTAGGTCCTGTTCACTTCTGATCTGTCTAGAGATTTAAATCATACAACAAAAGCTGCTTATATCAAGATACTCAACCAATTTAGAAATATCTTACATCCAAATAAGCCACAACATTAAGAGATAACCAGCTGTCCTCTATACATTTCACTTAATTTTCTATGTACTCTATTTTAACTAGTATTTGCCATCCATTAATAGCTGAAAGACCCACAAAGAATAAATGTATATTGTTAATGTTGCTGGTGATAAAGGAAATAAGCAAGATAAATGGATTAATTCTCTTTGTAAATATAAACTAAATGTCCCATGGAAATATCTTTTTTTTTAATATTTATTTTTTTTAATTATAGGTGGACACGATATCTTTACTTTTTTATTTTTATGTGGTGCTGAGGATAGAACCCAGTGCCTCATGAATGCGAGGCGAACGCTCTCCCCTGAGCCAGAATCCCAGCCCCCCTGGAAATATCCCTAAAGTATACCAGGGAAGAATTTGCATAGTAACAGCTTTATATACAAAATGATAACTAAAGTCATCAAAGATAGTATTTTATGTACCTACAGGTAAAAAAATTATCACAATAATTTATTGCCTGAAGATCTCATGGAATTTAAAAAAACTAACTAGTAAATATCTAGTATTTTAAAATTTCAAATTCCCCCTTTTAAATTAGTTTAGTATATGAAGACTTTGCCCACTGACAAGGAATTTTTATACAAGGAATTCTTTTCAGAATAAATGTTTTGCTAGAAATTAAATATATTTTCACTACCCTCACAAAGCATTATCTTATTTATTTGAAATCCTTGAAAATCACTGATCCAAATGTCTACATTACAATCTCATTAAGATAACCACCCTGATTGAGCATAAATATTAAAAGTCTTCAGGGCTGGGGATGTGGCTCAAGCGGTAGCACGCTCGCCTGGCATGTGTGCGGCCCAGGTTCGATCCTCAGCACCACATACAAACAAAGATGTTGTGTCCGCCGAGAACTAAAAAATAAAATAAATATTAAAAAAAAAAAAGTCTTCAAGCTATTGGATGGTGGGTTTACAATTACTAACTATTAAAAAACAATTAATTGAATAATTTAATAAGAGATCTTTGTACAAACTAAAAATGAGTGTCTCATGAATTAAAGATTATTATGTATTTGATTCTGGTACCTAAAAAAAAATCTGATTTTAACAATAAAAGATAAGGCAAGGACTGTGGTTGTAGCTCAGTGGTAGAGTGCTTACTTAGCACATGTAAGGCACTGGGTTCGATCCTAAGCACCACATAAAAAATAAATAAATAGGGCTGGGGTTGTGGCTCAGTGGCAGAATGCTTGCCTAACACAAGCAAGGCCCTGGGTTCGATCCTCAGTACCACATAAAAATAAATAAAGGCATAAAAACAAATAAAATAAAGTTTAAATAACACTACACATATATTTAAAAAAAAAAGAGATAAAGCAAAAAGAAAAAAAAGATGTTAGTGGGGAGGGAAGGACACAGAAAGGTTATTTAACAGGTACAATGTTTTAGGTAGAAGTAAGAAATTCTGGCATGTTACTGAACAGCAGGGTGGCTACAGGTAATGATAATATATTGTATATTTTAAAAAGCTAGAAGAAAGAAGTTTGGATGTTTTTACCATAAAGAAATGATAAATGTTTGAGGCCAATGTGCTTAATCTGATTAAACACTACACAATGTACACATGTATCAAAATATCACATGGTACACCATTAAAATTGTACAATTTTTATATTTTTATGTATCAGTGAACAAAGTTTTAAAAATATGTAAAATAAAAAAGGCTTTTGGAATCCATAAATCTTGGCCAAAATAATTTTCTTTGCAGGTATTTCTATACTTACGGAGTACGTTAAATCCAAATTGATATTTTCTGGAGTTGTAACTTGTTCCCGTTGTCTCACCAGGACTCTCTCTTTTCTTCCTGCATCTTTTGCCTTTTCTAAGGCCTGAAATCAGATTTACACTTTTTAAAATAATTTCTGGGCATTTATCAACTTTCATTCATTTGGGAATTATCAACATGAAGCTTGGCCGAATTCATTTTCCAACCTCAGATTCCCCAGGATGCTTCTCTACTTGAATAGACTTTCCTCTCTACTCTTACATTTAAAAAAACAAAACAAAACAAAACAACCTAGAATATTTGTTTAAATGGAGTTCACCATCACAGAATTGTGTCTGTGGTTTTCTGAGAAAGGAGGAGAGAGTATGAAGGATGAAATGTAAAGTGTACTTGCACCAAGTCAAGTCTGTACCTTTCACCACCTTTTGAGTTCGACCATGCCTACCTCCCTACCTTTTCTTTCCTCCTAATTCCTACATCGTTAGGTATTTTAATTCAATTTTGTGAGGAAGGAATTTAAGTAAAATTTTGTTTCTTATTTAACATTCTTCGGGAGGCTCAAAATACAAGTGAAAGAATAACTGCTGCCTAATATTACAAGAGATTCTTAGGCTGGCTCTAATACTACTCAGAATGTCAAGAAGCTTTCATTGATTTCCACATTAAAATTCAATAAGAGACTTTGATTTTATTAGAAATAAATAAAAATAGCACCAATTCTATAAGCAATAAAAGTAGGGGTTTATATTGAACATTTCTAATAGTATGCATTAATCTGATAACTGAGTCACAGAAATTATATTTACATGATAGGAAAATCAAAGTAATGAGAACAAAGCAAATTAAAAGATCAAATTTTGAAAAGCAGAATTTTAAAGAGCAGAGAAGACATATATCTCTATAGACTTCATAATTTCAATTCCTATTACTTTGTGAACTTACCAATTTTAAGTCTCCACAACTGTTAGCAATACAGCTTTCTTCTACCAACTCATTTACTTTCTTCTCTAATTGTCTAATCTTTTCTTCTGGACTGTTGAAGAAAAAAGCAAGTGTAATTTAAATCATTCAACTACTAATATTTATACTAAAATTGCATTTACTTTTAATACTGTCCATAACATGTTCTTTAACTTTAAGAACAGGTGAGGGCTCAGTGGTGCATACCTATAATCCCAGCCATTCGGGAGGCTGAGGCAGGATGATCTCGAGTTCAAAGCCAGCCTCAGCAAAAGCGAGGCACTAAACAATTCAGTGAGACCCTGTCTCTAAATAAAATACAAAACAGGGCTGGGGATGTGACTCAGTGGTTGACTACCCCTGAGTTCAAGCCCAAGTTACCCTCCCTCCCCGCAAAACAAAACAGAACAGGTGACAGATATAAGACAAATGTATAAATGGCATTAAAGAACAAATGTATTGCTGATTTTGATAAATATACTATATAATTAATTATTCATAATTATAATAAAATAGCTAACATTTATTTAGTACAACTCTATTAACACAGCAAAATGCTTTACCCTAATAATTTCATTTATTCCTCATAACAGCACTTGACACAAGTACTATCATTATTTCTATGTTACTAAAAAGGAAACTATGTGAAATTTAAGTATTTCACTCAAGATTGCAAAGCTTGTTAGGTATGGTGCCAGGATTCAGACCCAACTAGAACCCTTGCTACTATATTACTACCACAAAGGAGAAGTCGATTTTCTTTTTTTTCCAGATCCTATGGTAAATGAAACTGTATCTTATGGCTAGGAAAACTGAACACCCTCCCCCACCAAAATTACTTATTATCAGAAAGATGCTAAGAGAAAATAGCACTTTCCTAGCAAGTACAAGATCCTGGATTCAATTCCCAGCACCACAATCAATCAATATTTTTAAAAAGAGCAAATTATCCTCAAATCATTCACATTTCAAATAAACACTGATGTTTTGTTACTACTTTCTTCTGCCTTTAATAAAATTTTACTAAAGATACATTCAAATAGATGGTAGTTCTCTTAATTCTCTACAAATGAAGGAGTAAATATTAACAGTATAGCTTTGTCTATGGAATTATATTCTTTGGGGGAAATCTGGGCCTAAAATGGTAAATTCTATTAGTTTTTTAAGATCTTCAAAATTCTGACTGAGCAAGAACAAAATAGATACGATAACTTTATGAAAGACACTCTGTTCCTAACAAAGACCAAGAAATGAAACCTATATGTAGACATGGTTGGATACCTACTTAACAAGAACTTGCCACCCACCCTGCTTCCTAGCACAGACAATCTAAGCCAGTCTTGAGTATCGAATTCCTTTTTCTAGTATTTGGCTTAACCACGGGCATATAATGCATTGCACATCTGCATGGGATAGAGAGTTCCTGCAAAAATTCTCACTGTTTTTTAAAAGGAACTAGAACTATGAACTGTCTGCTGCTTTATCAATTACAAAGAGATTTTGAACTCTTACTACTCTATTGGCATCATAATGATGGGCAAGTTCTTAAGAAAAGCCAAGAGAATAAAAAAAAAAAAAAAGCTGAACTAGGGATAATGTTATTGAGTAGTTAAATTTACCTTCCCCTGAAATGCCCCTTCTCCACAATTCTCACTATGTTTTTTTAATTGGTTTTCTCTTGTCTGAAGCTGAAAAGATCCTAAATGACATACTTAAATAAAAGAATATACTTTTATTAGCAAACATGCTGTCATTAATGAGTGCACAAAATAAAACAATTGCCTATAGCGGTTCCTTGTTAGCCGAAAAAGGGAACTTAAGTAACTTATACAATCATCCCAAACATTGATTTTTAAGAATTACACAATTCTAGGGGAGGGGGGATAGTAGAGGATAGGAAAGGTAGCAGAATACAACAGTTACTAATATGGTATTATGTAAAAATGTGGATGTGTAACCAATGTGATTCTGCAATCTGTATTTGGGGTAAAAATGGGAGTTCATAACCTACTTGAATCTAATGTATGAAATATGATATGTCAAGAAATTTGTAATGTTTTGAACAACCAATAAAAAAAGTATAATCAGAAAAAAAATAAAAATAAAATAAAAAAGAATTACACAATTCTGGGGGCTGGGGATGTGACTCAAGCGGTACCGCTCTTGCCTGGCACGCGCAGGGCGCTGGGTTCGATCCTCAGCACCACATAAAAATTTAAAAAAAAAACAAAAATAAAGATGTTGTGTCCACCGAAAACTAAAATATATATATATATTTAAAAAAAGAATTACAATTTTGGGGCTGGGTTATGGCTCAGTGGTAGAATGCTCGCCTTGCACATGCAAGGTCCTGGGTTTGATCCTCAGCACCACATAAAAATAAATAAATAAAATAAAAATTATTTTAAAAAAAGAATTACAATTTTAAGCCGTATATTATACAGAAGCAAAACAGTGTGCGTGGTTAATAGATGAGTTCTGGAACCAAACAACTGTATTTGAATCTGAGTCATTCTCTTTATTAACCTTAGCAAGTCAAGATCTCTGTGTTTCTGTTCCTTCTCTATGAACTGGTGACAGTAATAACCCCATTTTTATGTGTAATGCACTTGGAACAGTACCTGCACACAGCAAGTACTCAGTAATATTAACTGTTTTTATTGTTTGTGAAATGTATACATCAAGGTACTCAGATACCAGTACATGTATACTGCTGAACGGATACTGCCGTTTTTATTATTATTATTATTATTGTTGTTTTAGCTACTAGTTAGATAACAGCACAAAACTTATGTTAATTCTACAAAAAATTATGTTGTTCAGACTGAGGATGGAGCTCAGTGGTAGGCAAGTGCAAGGTCCTGAGTTCAATCCCCAACACCATACACAGACAGATACACACAAATTATATTGCTCAATAATATGATTAAGTTGACATGTATTCTTAATTTTTTTCTTTTAAATGTCCTTTTATAATAATCATAACACATACAATCACATTTGACCCTCAAAAGAAACACTACTGACACCCATAAAAATTAGACATCAAGTCAAATAATATTGTAACAAAACTGCAAAGAACACATGTAGCTATTCTTAGATTTGATTTATTTGCTAGTTCTAAGAACTAGAAATGGTGTTTGATTACTTTCCTGCTGGGACAAACTTTTTAAATTACACATCTGGAAAATAAAAATAAAAAACATTCAGCAACAATAACAAAATGACAACAAAACGACTTGCATACCTATCTTCGTTTTTGGTTTCCAGAGGAGGAGCAGGGCCCCTTGATTGACCAAGTGGGTCAAATGCAGAGCCTGAGACACAATTCAAGAGTTCATATTTAATTTGCAACCCAGAAAACTGAAGAAAACATGAAATTTGCACCTTATTTCATTTACCTACTTATTAAATAATTTAGATTCCCTGTTTGTTAAATGGATATAACATTTATTAAGTCTACATAAATATTTTATATGTCAGGAAATTGGTAAGATCTTTAACATACATGAAACTATGTAAATAAAACTTGTGTGTTAACATATAAAAGATACTCTTAGCATTTCCCCACAGTGACCTCTACCTCTATCTAGCATGATCTCTAAATTATCAATCATGAGAGTTATTATCTGATATTGGCTTCCTAATTTTCCTTACTGGTATAATAAACATTAATTTTTGTCATAATTTTATGTTTTAATTGTTACTTAGCTTCTATAATTAAATACTATTTTCATCTTTCATTTTTTAAACCAAGCTCTAACTTATATAAAATAAAATGCCATAGTTTAAATGCATGGTTCAATACATTTTGATAAATCAAAAACTGTTTTAACTACCATTCCAATGGAGCTATAGAACAATTTCTTTTCTTTCCTTTTTTTCTTTTTAATACTAGGGATTTAACCCAGGGGGTCACTGTGCCACATCCCAGCCCTTTTATTTTTTATTTTGAGTCAGGGTCTCGATAAGTTGCTCAGGGCCTTCACTAAATTGCTGAGGCTACCTTTGAATTCATGATCCTCCTGCCTCGGATTCCTGAGTCATTAGGATTATAGGCATGCGCCACTGTGCATGGCCCCTTCCTTTCTTATGTGGTACCTCAAATAAGAATCAATTATAATCAATGGCATTTTAGATTTTATTTAAAATAGGAATGACACTCATATATACAAAAACAGTAAAAAATTAAGATACATGAAAAAATTATTATAGAGTTTGTATAACAAACCTCTCAAAGATGCTTTGGTAAAACCTGCTGCTCTCACTGCTGTCATGGGTCTAGTTACTCCATCCTTCAAAGAATAGAAATTATTTAAAAAGTATTCTAAGACAAGATCTACCTCCTATTTAAAATTCTGTACACGACACATATCATAATATAGTCCCAATTTTAATACTGATTTTAATTACTATCCACTTATCCCTTACTTCTATCTCTTCATATATCAATCCTGTGTATTTTCTCTTTCTCCATAAAGTTTCCATTCCTTGATATAACTTGGTTTCTCTCAGTTTGAAAAGAAAAAAACTAATTAACATTATTTAGATAGTCTCCTACTTATGGCTGGTCTCCTATATATAGCACATAACACAATCATTGAAAAGGATAACAGAAGAAAAGCAGGTCTCAGCAAACACATCATATATATATATAATATAAACCATTTCTATATCTACTCCCCAATAGGTTTTCATTTGAGACCTCAATACATAAATCCAAAGATTTAGAACAATCTTTGAACATAAATCTGACAATTTAGGACAGTCTAAACTTTACCCCACAATTTTAAGAATCAGGGTCATTATATAAGTAATTTAACATTTTAAAATATATAACAGAGAGGGGAATCTCTGGTATAAATTCCAGGTCATGAGAAAGGCACAAAATCAACAACTAAATAGCAGAGATACCTGAATAGCCCCTGTCATTGGTCTTCCCATTGATGATGTCAGGGATGTCTTGGACTAATAAACAGAAAAGTCAGTTAAAAAGATTCCTAAACACAGCTACCTTTATTTTTAAAAACCAAGTTATAGATGTTTTCTTCATAATTTTTTCTTCATTCTTTTGACAAGTAAACTTACACATAATTTTTTCCCATTTATCACCTGAAGGCATAGAATCAAACTATGAAACTCTAAAATCAGAAGTCAACAACAACAACCCAAAGCCTTTATAAAGTTTAAATGGAACACAGTCAAACTCCATCCATTTACACACTGCCTATGGTTGCTTTTGCATTACAAAAGCAGAGGTGGATGAATAGCTATGACAAAGACCACATAACCTGCAAAGCCTAAAATATCTGGCCCTTCACAGAAAGAGTTTGCTGTCTCTTATTCTGAAACAACACCAAAAATCAAATTTATGAGTACATGTTCAGAATGATTAATGAACGTATGTTTCACATGATATACTGTTAGTTATATTATGTAAGAGGCTACTTTCTTCACTTACATAAAGGATCATTATAAAGGCAAGTGCCCTGGGCTTCTGGGTTCTAAAGCCATTTTTCTGACCCCTTAGAAAATATTATCATAAGGACTAGGAAATGCTACTCCCCCACGTGCTTCCATTTTTTTCTCCCTTCAACTTGTAGGTAATTTGGACAAGATTTAAAGATTTATTTATTTATTATAGAGTTTTATAGAGTATCTTTCCTCCAAAGATCTCTAAGGCAAGACCTAAGTATATAATTCCAAAACACTTTTTAAAAATTTTATTTCTTCATTTATTAATTAGTAAGTTTTTAAAAATAATTATCAACATTACATTTAGGTAACATCTGATTTCACATAAAATACATGAATGGAATACACATGAGACTTGGTTATATTATGCAGAAAATGAAGCAACTTAATCAATCAACAAAAGGTTTACAAATGGAAAGTCAGCAAAATATTTTCTGATATATTTAAAATCAAAATGACTAAAATGTTCAAAGCTGTTAATCAAATTAGACTTTTTAAATGTTCATAACTACCCTTATAACTATCCAAATGGAAACTATATCTGATTCATGAAGTAAAAGATTACTAAAATTATTTAGAACTGACTTATGTTTAAGAAAAAGCATCTTAATATTTGTAGCTTACAAAACCTACCCCATATCCAGTAGCTATAGGTCTAGTAACTGCAGTGCTTGGTATTTTAGCAGTTATCTTGGGGAGGAAAAAGAACACAGTTAACAGAATTCTGATTAAGCTATAGAATAGAAAATTGGGAAAGAAATGGAAATACAGACTCATCAATAAGAAAATATTTACGTAATATTTAGAATAATTCTTCTAAATATTTCTATCTTAATATTAAAGAGCTCACTTTTCTTAATTGAGAAAGTATTGAGAAAGAGACTTATTTTGAAATTCATTCTAAAGGAGAAAGGAGACTTGAGAAATGACCTAAGGTACTAAAAAGAAAGATCTGTTTCATACTTTCATCTATCATGTATTCAACATTTACTACACTCATAGTACTGCCAGCCACTAGCCCACACAATAGATGCAGGTTTTAATGTCTAAGAAACTGGGTTTAAATCCCAATTCTCTCTCAACTGGTTAATATCTTTGAACCTAAATTTGCTCACCTTTGTATATAAAGTATGCTGATAACAAAATTGTAGTGGTTCAAATAGGACCATGTGAAAATGTGTTAAACAGGTTAGTTGTTAGGCTTATTTATTGTTCAACATATTTAAATACAATTCATTGAGGAATTCTACTTCTGGCTATGATGGATTATTGCTTTAAAAAAAAAATCCTTCTTACTAAAAACAATTAAAAAGGCTAGGGACAAAAACATGTTTAAAAAATTGTTTCCATGCACCAGAGAACCATCAAAACTGAAAAATTGCAAGGTCTCAAAATTAAGAAGAGAAGGGAAGACCTGAGAGGTGAACCTGCATTTGCGCTATTTTTCTCTGATAGACATCTGTTCATTCCAAAGGCATGGATGAGAAACTGAGCACAGTTTTTGAAAGACTCACAGTCTGAGGGGATAAACAGTGGAGTTGGGGGACTGCCAAAGAGCAGCTCTGATAATTCTCCAGGCTCTAGCTTGCACTCAAAAGACCATACCCTCAGGCTGAAAGGCAAATAGAAGTATACCAACCAGCCTTCTTTAGGGATTAAGTCCAATTTAGAATCACTTCCAATCCAACCAGATTAAGGTGGCCAGAGATACCTTGTACTGCTAGGGTCATAAGTAAAAGTAAATTATCTCTAAAATCCTGAGTGCTCTTCTATCCAACAGAACTTTCTGCATAACAAAACGTTCTATATCTGCAATAGCCACTAGCCACACATGACTACTGAGTATTTAAAATATGACTACTGCAAGATGGATCTGAATTTTTCATTTCAAATAAATAGTTACATGTGGCTAGTATCTATCAGATACTAACAGAGACATAGAGCAATAAATTACTTCTACAATTTTTCATTTACAATGTCTGGTGTTCAATCAAAAAGAATCAGACATACAGGAGGCAAGACTAACTAACCAAAACCACAAGAAACACAAACAAATTAAAAGAAATCCAGATGGAGATTCATGTAATGAAAATACCAGACATAGACTTCAAGATAACCATGCTTAATATGTTCAATGAGTTAAAAGACAAGATTGACAAGTCAGTAGAGAACAACAACAAAAAGAATAAATGGTAATTCTAGAACTGAAAATAGTGTAAAATTTTGGCATTGTATAGAAAGTAGAAAAACTACTAGTTTATAATAGATTTTCGTAAGTTAAAGATGAGTATTGTAATGTTTAGGAACACACCAAAAAAATGGTTAAAGAATATAAACTACCAAGATAACAGAAGAGGGAAATAGAATAATAAAAACAAGCAATGAAGGCAAAAAAAGAAAGAAAGAAAGAAAGAAAGAGAGGGAGGGAGGGAGGGAAGGAGGGAAAGGAAGAGAACAAAACTTAAAAGAGGAAAAAAAAAACCAAACAAGCAATAAAATTTAAATACAATATTTCATTAAATGTAAATAAGATGTCTCAATAAAATAAGAAGATAGACTATTTTAAAAACTAGAGCCCAATTACATGTTTCTATTGAGATACATCTTAAACATGGATTTGGAAAACCTGGAAGTAAAAACTGGGAAAAACATATGATGCAAATATTAGACACAAAGAGAGCTTATATAACTATATCAACATATTAACATCTGACAAAATGGACATAACGCATTACTAGAAATAAAGATATTTCACAACAATAAAAGGTTCATTTTACAATATAGATATAACAATTCTAAAATCTTCTGCAAAGACCAAAAAGAGATAGACAAATCCTTAACAGTGCAAGATGTGCTTGTACTTCCCATTAATAACAGAACCAGTAGACCAAAAAAAAAAAACCTCATAAAAAATATAGAACACCTGAACAAAATCATTAATATACTTGATCCAATTATACACTGTACCATACATTGTATTTATTATCAACTGCAGAATATACATTTCTTGAAAATGCACTTGGGTAATATTAATAAATTCCAAAGAATTGAAATCAGACAGATTATGTTCCCTACCTAAGAATAAAGCTAAAAAACAATTTAAAACAAAGATGATTAGAACATTTTAGAAATTAAGAGATTTACTCCCAAATAATCTATGGGTCAAGGAAGAAATTGCCATATAAATCAGAAAATATTTTGAACTGAATAATAATGAACATATTATGATAGAGGAAAATATGGAAAAATACACATCTATTTATTTGTAGAAAAATAGATGCCTGAATTATAGGTTTTAATACATGAGTTGTTAGATGAACTTTAATCATTGGGTCTTTGCCTTCTTGGGGGCAGGTATTTTAATATTGCAGGGCTTAGAACTCAAATTCTTGAAAAAGTTGGCTCCAGGTCTTAGAAAAGGCTAGAAGGGAAGAATACAGGTCTCAGCAACTTTCTCCTTGAGAACAAACTGAGGGCAAAAGAACATTACTGCTTTTTAAGTTCTACCTAATGACTACATCTGTTTTGCTGCTGTTGTTCTTTGTAGTCAGCATTGACAGGCTCTCATACTGTCTCAACCCTTTGTCACTTTTCCCCTCACCTGCAGTGCCCTTCCTCCTATATCTAAAGGTCTGCCTCAATTTCATAGATCCTTTAATATAACTCTAATTTAATCTTTTAAGAAACATCTTCTAATTGTCCCAACTACTGGAAAATAACCTCTCTTCATGGTCCCACAGCAATTTATTTTCTTTTTTTACAACTTATTGCATTACGCCTTGTAACAGGCCCCTTCTCTCTCTCTGCTTTCTGACCCCACCATTAGCTAAGAAGTTTTCCTCTGATGGGCTCTTCTCCCATGATGTGCTCCTTCACCTTGCTCACAGCAATGGAGCTGGCAATCTATGGACTGAGATCTCTAAAACCATGAGCCCCAAATAAACTTATCCTCCTATAAGATTTTTCCTGTCAGATATTCTGATCATAACAACTCCAAGCTGACTAAAGCAGCCAGTCTGGCAAAATTATCACCTACTGTGAATCACCTGATTTACTAAGTCATGGTCGATAAGGAAAAGAACAATGAGTCAAACATAGAGTCTCTTCAAAAGTCCACAGTCTAGTCATAGCCTAGCAGAACCCAGTGTTCTGGTTTTTCTTCCAATAATGAAACTAACCTTAAAACTAAAATACTAGCTGTGGAATATGTAGTGAAGAATTACTTTACCCAAAGAGAGACCTGGCCTTTTCCCTTGGCTACTGGGAAGTGATCTCTAGACTCCTATCTACTTGATAAGAATGTCTTTGTTTGTCTGGGGGCCTTGATAAGTGGAAGATCTAACAATGTGATCTACGTAGGTGCATTGGGACATATCAGTTTCACCTACCAGAGTTACCAGCCTGGACCTCCAGGAGGGGCTGGAGACCAAAGGGCAACTATAGGGGCAGTATGTGATTAAGCCCCATAAAATTTTTGGACATCAAAATCTTGGGTGGACTTCCCTAGTTGGCAGTAATTTGAGAGAACTGTCGCATACAGTGGCCAGGAAGAGTTACAACCACTCCTGGCTCTATAGAGAAATGACAATCAGAAGCTCTATATGTGGACCACTCTCAAATTCTGTCCCATACACCTCCTTCCCTTGGCAGATTTTAATCTGTATCCTTCCGTTGCAATAAACTTGGGAGTACAATAGATTTCATTGAGTTCTGAGTAATTCCAGAGAATTATTAAAGGTAGTGCTGGGAACCCTTGGCTTTGCTTGCAATTGCTTTGAGAAATTAGGGAACTCTTATGGAGGACTCTGACAGCTAGTTAAACTCATTTCAGGGAACCATGCTACATTCACTTACACCAAATGAGATGAGGCAAACTACTCACAAGATTCTTTTCATGTTAAATGTTTAATACTAATCATTGATTTTTACTAAACTAGAATGTGTGCTAGGGAAGATGGCAGAAAGAATAAAAAAGGTGAAGGAAGATGAAAGCAGGAGAGTATCTCATTTTAAAGCAGAGGAGTTGCTGCATCAGGGTTTCCTAATGTTGGCAGTACTGACCTCTTGGGATGGATAATTCTTTATTATGTGGAACTGACCTATGCATTATAGGATGTTTAATAGCATCAATGGGTATCCACTAGATACTAACAGCACTCTATAACAACCAGAATTATCTCCAAACATTGCTAAATGTCCCCTTAGAGGTGTGGGTGGGCAAAACTATCCCCAGTTGAAAATAGCTGCTATAATAAAACTAGGAGAGGAAAGTTGTTTTTAAAAAAGAATGTTAGGTATAGATCATTAGAGGGAAAACTTTCTATACTTCACTATTTCACTTAGTCCCAGCCTTGTTTATTTTCAACCACAAAAGAAGTTTGGCAGATTTCATGCACCGTGGAAAACACATATCTATGCTTCACATGACATATACAAAAATCTTAAGAGTTACAAAAGAGTTATTTTACAAAAATAAATAAATAAATAAATAAATGTAGTGATTTATGTACCAGTGGAAGAGAATCACTATACAAGAAAGAAGTAATTTGTATTATTAAGACCCAATGTTTTGAAGGAATAATATTTCTAGCACTTTAAAAAGTAGAAAGGTAAATATTTTTAAAATAATTCTGCAATCTGTATATGGGGTAAAAATGGGAGTTCATAACCCACTTGAATCAAAGTGTGAAATATGATATGTCAAGAACTATGTAATGTTTTGAACAACCAACAATAAAAAATAAAATAATAATAATAATATTTTAGGTAAACATACTCTGATGTTTTATATACACAACACTTATATTTTCAAAAGCATACAGAAACTTTTGATTTAAAATACTTTAAAATTATGTGTACAACTATTAAATGTGCTATGGTTTGAATGTGGTTTATTCCCCAAGTTTTATGTGTTGGAGGCATGGTTCCCATAGTGGCTATACTGGGAGATACTGTGTAACCTGTAAGGGAGGCCTAGTGGGAAGTCAAGGGGGTTCTGCTGACAGAGGGGAAAATTGGTCTCCTAAAGTAAGTTCTCACAAGAGCAAGTAGTTTAAAACCTTAAGCCTAACATTCTTCTCAAGCTTCCTTTTCAAGATGGGATCCTTCCTCCCATCCATGCTCTGCAATGTACCATAGAGCCCTCACCAGATCCTACATGTTGTTTGTTCTTTCAGCTCCCAGACTTTACAAAGTTGACCTGTTTCAGGTATCTCATTATGATAAGGAAAAACTAATACAACATGTCAAATAAAAATAAGGAAAATTAAAAATCCACTTATTGGATACACTGAAATCTACAAAACATTACTGAAGGAAACTAAAGGTGACACAAACAAATGAAAAAGACATAAGATATTCATGAATTGGAAGACTAAATGTTGTTCAGATGTTCATACAACCTGAAGTGATCCATAGGTTCAAGCCAATCTCTATCAAAATCCTAACATTGCTTTTTGTTCAAATAGAAACATTCATCCTGAAACTCAATGAAATATCAAAGGTCCCTAAAAAGTTAAAACAATTCTGAAAAAGAGGAACAATTATCAGACTCACATTGCTTGATTCCAAAACATGACAAAGCTATAGTAATCAAAACAGTGTGGTGCTAGCATAAAGACAAGACGAAGGAAACAGAAGAGGCTGCAGAAATAAACCCTTGCATATATGGTCACATTTTTACACCATACACAACAAAGTAACTCAAAATAGGCTGAAGGCCTAAACATAAGACCTAAAACTATAAAACTCCTAGAAGAAAATATAGAGGAGAAGCTTCATGGAATTGCTTGTGGCAATGATTTCTAGGATATAACACCAAAAGTGCAAGAAAAAAAAAATTTTTAGACAAGTAGAACTACATCAAACTAAAAATCTTTGTACTTCAAAGAATACAATCAATAGCATGAAAATGCAACTTATTGGATGGGAAAAAATATTTGCAAATCATATATATCTAATTAGTTAATATCCAAAATATATAAAGAACTTCTATAACTCAACATCAAAATAGACAATTCTCCATTGACAGATGAATGTATAAAAAAAATGTGGTACATATATACAGTAGAAGCCTTTAAAAAGAGGAAATGTTGTTATATGATACAACATGGATAAAACTTGAGGACATTATACTAAGTGCAATAAATCTGTCTTAAGAACATAAATACTCTATGATTCCACTTATGTAAGGTACCCAGAATGATCAAATCCACAGAAATAGAAAGCAAATGGTGGTTATTGGGGACTTAGGAAAGGGGAGAAGATGGGGAATTGTTGTTTAATAGTCACAGGGTTTCATATTTACAAGATGAAAAAATTTTGAAGACCTGTTTCACTGGAATGTGAATATACTTAACACTACTAAACTTTACATTTCAAGATAATTAAGATGATAAGTTTTATGATATGTGATTTTTACCATTTTTTTAAAAATTTCACTTACAGGAGGTCTTCTGCCATGACTTGTTCTCACTGCTTGCTGAAAACCTGTATCATTCTCCAATTCCTAAAATGAAATGGCAAATTTAACATTCAAATATGAAAAGAGAATTGGGGAAAAATGTTTAAGCTCTTATGGTATTCAAGATCCTCTATAATTCATCATATCCTAGATGCTGACATCAGGGTTGGGACTCAAGGACTCCTGTCCTCAAATCTTCCCCCAAATATCAAGGCTCCTTCCTTTCTTACAAATAAGAGTACAGATTATGTTAATTAATTTATTAAGGGCATTTTATTAACTATTATTCAAAAGGTCAGTATCATAATGCCTGGTTAAAAGATCGCAAATATAGGATATGACCCTTCTTTTCCTTCCCTCCCTCCCTCCCCTCTCTTGCTTCCTTCCTTCCCAGTAGCTACAGCAGTAAGAAGAGATCTGTACCCCCTCCCTCCCTTCCATTCCCTCTCCCTCTTTTCCCATATGCTAGGGTCATGCTACCATTCCTACCTGAGAAAGCCCCAGGACAAAAAAGGGCATATTTTTTACAAGCAAGGAAGCAGACACTTTCTATTATTTTGTTTACATCTGCTCAAGTGAAAAACCTTTGCATCTCACTGGACAGGTAAAATCTTGAGATTCAGACTGAAGTTAACCTAGCTGGCTCCATTGAGTTCAACCTGTTCTGTCATTTGGAATCATCTCAGTTGAAATAAGTTATTTTGCTTTCCTGATTCTTGACTTATATTTTCCCTCAGGAAATCTGAGGAAAGAAACATTAGTCAAGGTCAGAGATACAATTGTTCTTAGGTTTCTGAACAAAATGTCATTTTTTAAGCTCTCTAAAAAACACCCAGTCTTACCAACTGCCAATCTTTTAACAAGATTTCGTTTTCTACTTCTTCTAGAACATAAATTTGGCTGTAATTACTCAGGTACACTTTAGTACAACTCTCTTACTTGTCTTTAATTTATTCCAATTTACTTCAGACAAAAATATACCTGCTGCTATGGTTTGAATGTGGTTTGTCCCCTAGAGGTTCACATGTTGGAAGTTTGGTCCTCAGTGTGGTGATGCTAAAATGTGTAATCTTTGAGAGACGGGGAGGTAATTAGGTCATTGGGAGTGCCGTCCTCAAAAGGGATTTATGGAGGTCTTGTGGAATTAGTTCCTAAAATTTTTTTAATATTTCTTTTTTTAGTTGTCAATGGATTTTATTTATTTATATGTGGTTATGAGACTCAAACCCAGTGCCTCACACATGCCAGGCAAGCAATCTATCACTGAGCCACAACCCCAGTCCTTATTTATTTTTGCATGGTGCTAAGGATGGAACCCAGTGCCTCATGCATGAGAAGCAAGCGCTCTACCACTGAGCTACAACCCTAGCCTGAGAATGGGTTCTTATAAGAACACCAAACTAGCCCCTCTCTCTCTACTCTGGCTTCTTGTCTCACCATGTGATCTGGCTTGTTGTAACCACTCCTATTACAATACCATGCAACCCAAGGACCCTCACCAGAGGACAACAGATGGAACTGCCTGATCTTGGACTTTCAATCTCCAAAACAGAGGTATATCTTTTCTTTATATATTACCAAGCCTCAAGTATTTTGTTATAACAAGAAACAGATCCTTGCTTGGTATTAATACATATAAAATGAAGTCACTACCAATTAACTTTTAAAAAAAATACTTATTTTTTAGGTGTAGATGGACACAACACAATGCCTTTATTTTTATGTGGTGCTGAGGATCGAACCCAGGTCCCACCCATGCTAGGCGAGCGCTCTACCGCTGAGCCACAATCCCAGCCCCCAATTAACGTTTTTTCTTAATGTTTAGTTGTAGATGGACACAATACCTTTATTTCATTTATTCATGTGATGCTGAGGCTCAAACCCAGTGCCCCATGCATGAGAGGCAAGCACTCTACCACTGAGCCAGCCCTCAATTTACTTTTTTAAAAGTCTGCAGAAAATCAAAGTAAAATGTTCATATTAACAGGATACTAATACAATGTACTTTAAACATGATTTTATTACAAGCATTTCTTCTTTAACTTTTACTTTAAATTATCTTTATAACCTCCCATATCACACTACAGAAAATTAAATAAGTACAAAATGTTCAACCATGGGAACTTTTATGTAAAATACAAAGCCAAAGGCAACCTCCAGCATAATTAATTATACTTCTATTTTGATGGATCTTTTGGTAAAAAGAGTCTTCTAAGATTCTTGAACTATTCATAAAATGTTATGAATAAGCTCAATAAATTCTAATTAAATGCGAGAAAGAATGATCAACAAATTTTCTAATAACAAACACTAAACACAACTTTTGTAACTTTTTCTTTGTACCTTGACAAACTATATATTGTATTATCATCTTAAGCAACAGTTTCAAGTGATTAGGTTATATATTATACCTGTTATTATTACAACTAATTACATGACACTTCAAATTTAGTACACTAAAAAAAAAAAAAAAGAAAGAAAGAAAGAAAAACCTGCTTTTAAGTACTTCCAGGTGGCTCGAGCAGTAGCGCGCTCGCCTGGCATGCGTGCGGCCCGGGTTCGATCCTCAGCACCACATACAAAAAACAAAGATGTGTGTCCGCAGAAAACTAAAAAATAAATATTAAAATTCTTTCTCTCTCTCTCTTTAAAAAAAAAAAAGTACTTCCAGATGATTTAAGTCTTTTTAATTCACACAGTGATGAAAAACCAAAGTATATAACTCGTCTTCATTCATTTATATAATATTTCTCATGATCTTCCCTTCTACTACAATAATTACTATTGGTGGAAGTTAGCAGAATCTTCACTAATAGCACTTTTCGATTTTTAAGTCAACTTACTTAAACCATAAAAAAGCAGAGAACCTTCAAATCCAAAGTCTTCATATATCAACTGAGCTGGTTCACAAAAGACTAATATAAAAAAAAGTTGGGCTGGGGATGTGGCTCAAGCGGTAGCGCGCTCGCCTGGCATGCGTGCGGCCCGGGTTCGATCCTCAGCACCACATACAAACAAAGATGTTGTGTCCGCCGAAAACTAAAAAATAAATATTAAAAAAAAAAAAAGTTTTTTTGTTTTTTTTTTTTTACCTCAGTATCATAGATTGGATTGTAGTCATTGTAACCAGAATAAAGATCATCATCATCTGTCTCTGGAGCCAGGTGCACATTTTGCATCATTTGTGCCTAAGAAAAATCAACAGTGCAAATATGTGTTAAGATTTGGATGTAGAATATCCCCTAAAGGCTCATTTGTTAAAGGCTTGGTCCCCAGTGCAGTAATGTTCAAAAGAAGGGCTTTTGGGAAGTGACCGGATCAAGAGAGATCTAACCTCATAAACAGACTTATCTACTTATGGTTGAATGCATTATTGGGAGGTGGTAACCATGGTACAAGGGGGACTTAGTTGGGGGAAATAGTCACCAAGGGCATATCCTGCTTATTACTCTTTCTCTCTCTCTCTCTCTCCCTCCTTCTCCTGACTCCTCTTTTCTGAGGAAAGCAACATTGCTCTGCCATGCCCTTCCTCCATGCTATACAGCTTTAACACAGATCCAGAAACAATGGGGTCAGCTGACAATGAACTAAAGCCTCTGAAACTATGAGCCAAAAAATCTTTCCTCCTCTAAGTTGATTTTCTCAGCTATTTTGTCCCAGCAACAGAAAACTGGTTAATACAATGTGTGACTGGTATAAAAATTAAAATATATGTGTGTACGTGTGTGTGTGTGTGTGTGTGTACACTTGGGGGTGCTGGGAATTGAACCTAGGGTATTGCTGCTAAGCACACTATTGAGCTATACTCCAAGCCCCAAGAAATAATTCTCAACTCAAATGCATAACCTTTTTTGGCCAAATTTAACTATACATATTTCTATGGCTTCAGTTTTTTTTTTCAAATTCCTAAAAGTAGGTGTCAAAACATTCATTCATTGCCCTCATTTTATATTTATTCCATACCTTCTACATTGAAAGAACAGTAATAGGACTGAGGGAAGGGTATAGCTGATTACCCTGATTTTCATGGAGCTTAGTATCAAGTGCAGAAGAAACATAAGCAATAGCCCAATGCAATGCAAATACCACTACAATCCCACCATAATAGATAAAGTTTAAAAGATCAACAACATATAAGGCCAGCAAAAATGTGAAGCAATTGGGATATCCATACACTGTTCATAGGAGTATAAAATTGTAAATTTTGGAAAAAATTCTCACAGTTTCATAAATTAATATTTACCTTTCATGACCCAGCAATTCTACTCCAGAGTTTTTACCTGGGAGAAATGAAAATATGTCTACAAAAAGATTTATGTAAGAATGTTTATAGCAGCTTTATTCATAATGGACAAAATTAGAATCAGACAAGATGCCCAGCAATAGAATGGGTAAGCAAAATATGGTATATTTATGCAATGAAGTACTATTTGGCAATACAAAAATGCATGCACTGATGGCATATATAACAATATGAAAGAATCTCAATTACACTGTGTGCTAGAAGCCTTATATAAAATGGTACATTGAGCACTGTTTCATTTATATAAAGTTCTAGAACAGGCAAAATTAACCTATGGAAAAAAACAATCAGAACAGTGATTGCTTGTTGGGGATGGGGAAGTAGAGACTAAATCGGAAGCAGCAAAGAGAATTTTCTGGAGTAATGAGAAATATTCTATGTTTTGATGGGGGTTTCGGTTACACTGGCATCCATGTATGAAGACTCAACAAATGCACACTTAGGATTTCTGCTTTTCTTTGTAAATTCTATCTTGAAAGGAAAAACAGTAGATAAATATTGAACTCTAAATTAGTAACCATGCCAAGTATTTAAGAGGAAGTTTAATATCTGCAATTTTGTTTGAAATGTATAAAAAGAAGGGTTGATAATGGATAGGATAGCCATATGATAAAGCAAGTATAGAAAAATGATAATGGTAGAAACCAGGTAGCAAGTAAAAGGGTCACAGTTAAATTCTTTAAACTTTGCTACACACTTGAAAACGTTCATAATAAATGTTGAGAAAAACATGCTTAGGCAGAATAAAATAGATGTCAAAGCAAATAAAATAGAATCATGAGAAAAATGTAATTACTGTGTACTTTTGCTATAAATGTAATAATTGTTTGACAGTCTGGAAGGAGTCCCAGAAGTGTCATTCAAATCAAGTCAGTAGTTTAGGCAATTCTGAGGGTCAGAGGTATAAGAGGGCCAGCAGCCAAAAAAATGTAGTTTAGAACTACTTGTCTACCTAGCAGTATATTTTCTTTAATTTTTTTTTTTTTACAATTTTAAGTATGCCAGTAAATTCCTAAGAAAATTCCATTTAAAAATTTTATTGTTCAGCATAATACCAAATATGTCATTTCTCAGAGCCTTTTAAAAATTATTTGTATTTAAAAATTAATAAAATTATTACTTTTTGAGATATGATTCACACTATAAAATTAGCCCTTTTAAAGTATACCATTCAGTGGTTTTTAGTATAGTCACAAGTTGTGCAACCATCACCACTATCTAATTCCAAAACATTCTTCATCTCATAAAGAGAAATGGGGCCCTGAATAATAAATTTATAACATGTTGTTTATTCATTAGTTAGTGGACACTGGGGTTGGTTCCACTTTGAAACTTGTAACACTGTTGTGAATATTTGCATAAAGTTTTGGCATGAATATATGTTCAATTCTATTAGGTTTATATCTAGGAATGGAATTGCTGGGTCAGAGGGTAACTCTATGTTTAACTTTTGAAAAAGCTACCAGACTGTTTTCCAATGTGGCTGCAACACTTTACATCCCTTCAGCAATGCGAGGTTTCTAATTTCTCCATGTACTAGCCAACACTCGTTATTGTCTCTCTTTTTGGTAGAGCCACAGTAGTGAATGTGAAATATGTCACTGTGGTTTTGATTCAGATTTTCCTGACGATTAGTGACGTTGAACATATTTTCATATATTTATTGGATATTTGCATAATCTCTTTGGAGAAATGTCTGTTCAGATTTTTTGCCTTTTAATAATATGGTCTTATATAGCTAAAAATCTTTATTTTTCTGGCTACTAGACCGTATTGTATATATGCTTTGCAAATATTTTCTCCCATTCTATACATTGTCTTTTCACTTCTTGATAGTATCCTGTAAAGCACTAAGATTTTAAAATTGGATGTATAATTTATCAATTTCTTTAGTTGCTTACACTTTTGGTATCACATCTAAGAAACAAATGCCTAAACCAAGGTCATGAAAATTTATACCTATTTTTTCCCTTAGAGTTTTATGGTTTTAGTTTTTACAATTCCTTGATCCACTTTGAGTTAATTTCTCATTACTCTTTGAAGATGAAAATTCATTACTGTGAGAGCAAATGTCAGCCAGATAAAAACAGTCATTCCAAAATACCTCTGAAGGGTCACTGATGGAAGAAGCATAAAATATTTTAACTTAAAAGCTTTGGCTCAGATAATATGGAGACCACTTTTCTCCCTTATCCATGGTTTCACTTTCCATGCCTTCAGTTACCTGCACTTAACTACACAGTCCAAAAATATGAAGTGGAAAACTCCAGAAATAAACAATTCATGCATTTTAAATAACATTCCATTATAAGTAGTGTGATAAAATATTGTAGTACTGCTTGAACCCACCTGGGACCTGAATCATCCCTTTGTCCAGCATATCCACGCTGTATACGCTACTGACCCATTAGTCACTTAGTAGCCATCCTGGTTATTAGGTCAACTCTTGCAGTATATACTCACAGTGCTTTACTCAAGTAACCCTTATTTTACTTATTTATGGCCCTGAAGTACAAAAATCATGAAGCTGGCAATTCAGATATGCCAAAGAGAAGTCACATTTTAGTATCAGCACACATTATTAAAGGGTAAGAATAATAGAATAAGATATATTGAGAGAGGTTGGGGTTGTAGCTCAGTGGCAGAGTGCTTGACTAGCATGTGTGAGGTCCTGGGTTCAATACTCAGCACCACATATAAATAAAATAAAGGACAATCAACAACTAAAAAAATATTTTTAAAAAAGATACATTGAGCTGGGCTCTGTGGCACATGCCTATAATCCCAGCAGCTTGGGAAGCTGAGACAGGAGGATGGCAAGTTCAAAGCCAGCCTCTGTAACTTATTGAGGCACCAAGCAACTCAGTGAGTCCCTATCTCTAAATAAAATACAAAATAGGGGGCTGGGGCTAGGGCTCAGTAGTAGTGCACTTGCCTGGCATATGTGAGGCACTGGGTTCAATTCTCAGCACCACATATAAATAAATAAAATAAAGGTCTATCAACAACTAAAAAAACATTTTTTAAAAAAATACAAAATAGGGCTGGGGTTGTGTCAGCGGCTGAGTGCCCCTGAGTTCAATTCCTGGTACCAAAAAAAAAAAAAAAAGATATACTGAGTGAGAAGATTGATTCACATAATTTTATTACAACATATTGCTATAACTGTTCCATTTTAGTATTGTTAACCTATTACAGTGACTAGTTCATAAATTAAACTTTATCATAGGTATGTATGTATAGCAAATATCAGAGCATAAATAGGGTTCAGTACTACCAAAGGTTGTAGGTGTCTACTGTGGGCCTCCAAACATATCCCATGCATATAAGGGGGGACTACTGTACTATATTTGTGGCTCTCAAACATCAGAAACCTAAAAATTTATTAAATCCAGATTGCTTCTCCCCAGCCACCACTGTTTCTGATTCAGTAAGTCTTCAGTGGAGGATATTATCACCCTCTCAATTCCATATAATGTGCATTTCTATCAAGTCACCAAGTGATGCTGATACTGCTGGTCCAGGGATCCCACTTTGAGAATCATTATGCTAAGCAAGAACTTCCTGATTATGAGCCCTATTTAAATAGTCTAGTTTCCACATTAACAAGCTACTTTTAGAGTTAGAGATCCTTTTTGCTGGGCTGTAAGCCAGATTATAAAAAGTTTATATTTGGGAGAGTCTTTAGTTGAACAGACATTTAGTGGAATATACTATTCTTAAAGATGTGGAAAGCAAACCTAGGAAAGGTGAAAGCAATTACCTATGGCTAAGAGCTACTTTTGCAAAATAAATATTACACTTAGAGTTTCTAGATACTCCAAGCTCTTTCAGAAGCAGCTTATACACACAACAAGCTTCTCATCTTGAAATAATTTGAGGATAATGCCACCTCAATATAATTGCCAGTAAAACATTCTTTAAAATGTAAAAGTTATTTCTTAACATGCTTCTACTCTGATGAACAGTCTACTTCCAACATGTCGATTGTAGTTTCTCAATCACAACCAGAAAATCAGCCTGGTAAACAGAAAAACTGTAATTTTAGGCTCAGAAAAAAACAAACAAACAAACAAACAAACTGGGAAACCCGTAGCTGGCCCTCCATATCTTCGGAGTCTGCATCCTGTTAAGTACTTGGGGATGGGAGGGAATTACATCTGAAAACATACAGACTTTTCTTGTCATTATTTCCTAAACAATTGTTTATAATAACTATTTACATAACATTTACATTGTGTTAGGATTTGTAAGTAACCCAAAAATGAATTACTTATGTATTTGGAATAATTGTATAAATTATATACTGCTGGTCCAGGGAGACTCGAGCAATTAATTTTGGAATTAAAGGGGAGTGGGTCCTAGAACCAATTCCCTGGGGATACAGAGGATTAACTATACTTAGTGTCTCTGGAATTTATATATACTTTATGCATTGTTTTGTTCACTTTTGCCATCATTTCTGGCTCAACCTTTTATTAAACAATTTCCAAAAGGAATTAAATCTCTAAAAGGAATGGTCGCTGTATTTGCTGTGAAACTCTAGAGCCGGTACAATGGTCTTATTGTATTTGGAGGTGCTTCGTTAAGGTGTGACTATCACCTGGTACTGGTACGGCCATCCCAAGAAAAACTGGACCGCCCATCCCTTTAGGAGGAGTAATAAAAACTGGTCTTAGCTATGGAAACCGATGTGTGCGAACCAACGCCAGCGTCAACGAAGGAAGGACACGGGTACCACATGGACTTCCAGCCACAGGTGGGCGGGAAAGGGCCGAGGGCGGGCAATCTGTCCTCCGCCCCTCCGCAGGCCTCACAACTCGAGCAGGAGGAGGCTTCCCGTGGGCTCCGCGCGCCTTTTGCGGCGCAGCACAGCCGCGCGGAGTCTGAGGCGCTCGGGCCCCAAGGCCCTTCTCCTACCTCTCGCTGAGAGGAGTGGGGTGACCGCGAGTAGAGCCCAGGGAAGACGCGGCCGCTTTCGCGAATCTACTCAGCAGGCCGGAGCGCGGCGCTGGAACGGTTGCCAGGGGCGGAATCCAAGGAAGCCGCTCCCACAGTCCTCCGCGCGGGGCCGGAAGCGCGGGGGCTGAGGGGAGACCTGGAGGGAGGGGCGAGGAGTAGTGTGTTGCGCCTCTAAGTCAGGGCCGAGAGGAGTCGGGGCAGGGTTCAGAGGGCGCAGGGATCTAAGATCCTGTAAATCCTGGTGAAATCAGCCAGGAAACAGATGACCAAATGATGGCACCAAGTTATTATGCAATGTTTCCTGGAGCCCCACAGTAATCTGTGAACCGTGGAAGTCCGTTTTCAGTGTAATCCCTGAAAATAAATTTTTTGGTCACCCTATAAAATTGTCCTCAGTTGATACCTATGTGGGAAATCTCACCCCCCACCACTTTGTCTTCATAATTAATTTTTTATTATGTCTTAAGAGGTGTAATTGGGAGATGTAGACATAATCTAAGAAACTGGTAATTAATGCGTTTTAAAAAATTAAGCGTTTGGGGAAATGCTCTCCATGGGCGTCTCTCGTTTTTGCACGTCTTGTGAACAGAAGTCCTAATGGCTTTTGTTCTGGACTCTTGTGATGGTTAATTTTATCTGTCAAATGAGCTAGTCTGTGGTATCTGCAGAGTGATTCAATTCCTTAAATTAAAGTTCTGTGTAAATATGCATACTGTTGGTTCTGTTTCTGTGGAGAATCCTAATATAACCATCTTTTCAAGGACATTTGTATAGTGAACAGCTTTAGAACACCGAAATAAGTACTTCCCTTCAGAACAAAAAGCAGGATTATTGGTGTCCGGTATAACAAAGATAATCCCTCCTCCTCCCCCACTGCCCAAAGGCTTAGCCAGTTGGTTTACAGTCCATTATAGAATATTAATATGTCTTAAACTTGGGGTTTTCTCAGCAAAACACAAACCCACTGCATGCACCTGGGCTTCCCCCATGGTATTGTGGTCCTGGTATGTGGTGAGAGGCAGGGGATAGGAGGATAGCAGAACCAAAGGGAATATGGAAACTCACACTACTTGCTATGCTGCAATGAATAAAGTCCTTTGTCTTTGATCCAGGTGATTTCTGCCAACATTCATGAAACTATTTGGCTAGCTTGTTAGCTTGCAGGTAGGGTGACATTGTACACAATTATCCATAGTATCTAGCTACATAGCTAGAAGCAGATGTTTAATAAGTGTGTATTGAATTAGTGAATGCTGTAGAAGCCTTCTTTCAGGTTACTGTACTTTAATATGTAGAGACAATTTTCATTTTCTTTAGGTCTCCAGGCTGTAAACTTACAGCTCCCTCAATTTTTTCATTGAAAACACATTCAAGTTGGTTTTCTTAGTTGTTCTTTAAGCATGAAACAGTAACTTACACAGGGAGTGGTCAGTCATCTTCACTTGAAATGGTGTAATGGACCATTCCATGGTCCTATTATTGCCAGACGAAATGTTAGGTTCACATATCTTGTATTACTAAAATATAAACTCTACAGAAAACAGAGATTTTTGTCTTTTTTGTTCTACACTGTATATCTAGTACTTTAAAAAGTGCCTGAAAATAGTTGATCTCCTGCAATTATTTGTTGAATGAACTGTCAGGCTTGTAATTAAATACAGTGTTAGAAGTTAATGGGTCAAGCCACAGTTTGGCCTGAATAAAAGCTAGTGTAATTTATTAATATGGAGAAGAGTTAGAGGAGAAGCAGGTTTGAGAGATAAAATTAGTTTCAAACACACTGGGTTTCAGATGCCTGTAAAATATGATATTCAAATAGAGATATTGAACAGCCAACTGCATGTAAAGTTACAAAGCTCAGAGAATAAATCCCACCTGGAAACATACATTTGGAATTCACTAAAACAGATGGATTTGAAGCCTGGGGGTGAGTGTGATTGGTTGCAGGGGAGGAGAATATAGAGGGATTTTTAAAATGAACCTAGAACTGAGACTTGGAAAATAATATTGAAAGACTTTGTAGAAGATGAATCCCTAATAATTCTCTTTTAACGGTTAGACATATTGAAGCAAAATCAGGAAAGTGAAAGAAATGGAAGCTAAGGGAAATAAATGTGTGAAACAGGAGGGAGTGGCTGAGTTTGTTGAACGCTGTTGAAAGGTCAGTAATTAAACCAAATACCTATTCTGTTGATTTAGCAAGAGGTCTTCAAGTGAGAGAGTGCCTGCATTGAGTTGACTTGAAATTGGGCATTGTATTAGACCATTTTGTGTTACTAAAATGAAATATGTGAGGCAAGCTAACTTTACATAGAAAATAGTTTTATTTTGCTGATACTGTGTTAGGCTGCAAGTTCAAACAGCTTAGCTCCGGCTCTTACAAGGGACCCCTGATAAATGGCAGGAATGTGAGTGAGAATGAGAAGTCACATCATCAAATAGGAAGCCAAAAAGGCTGCATAGACCAGGCGTAGGCCTTTATAACCATCCTATTGTGAGAACTAACCAGGGTCCTAAGAGTAAAACCTCAGTTTCTTCAGGGCACATCCCTAGTGACCTAAGGACCTCCCAATAGACCTACCTATTAAAGATCCCGTACCACCATACTGGGAACCAAGACTCTAACACATGAACCTTAGAGGATAAATCACATCCAAACCATAACAGTGATGAAGTAGTGACTGGATATGAAAACTTAAGAAGCATGACTATGAATCTAAAGAAAAAGATAGAGGTAGATGGCTAGGGAGTCCATGGCTGGGAAAGTTTTCATTGATTTGTTTTTTAAAAAGGAAGATAATAGAACATGTTTTAAAGCTAAGGGAGTTGATCCAATAGAAAGACGCTGAGATCAAAGAGAGGTGCATAAAAGTGAGAGGAATGGAGGAGTTTCCAGGTTTGAGAAAAGTGGAAAAGGTCTAAAATAAGCAAATAGAAGGAGAACATGTTAGCCAAAGAAATGCAGAAACATTTCCTAGTAAGTTCGGGTGCTTGACATCAATGATCATGAATTTATAGTAATGCTCATCTGCTCTGTTTTCTGGTACTCTGACCCCTTTTCTTTATAGCACCTGAAGTAGGTACAGACATGGAAAAGGCAGATAGTAGAATTTATTCAGGGTTGAAATTTGTTGGGCAGTTGCAAAGAAAGGACAGATGGGAAAGGGAGTTATATGGCAGATGTGAAATTTAATGCAAATAATAAAAGAACTGAATTAAATGGAGCTAGTGAATGAGAAGGAAGTGAAGGAGTTGGCTTAAAACTACTGAGGTTTGGGGCTAGGGATGTGGCTCAAGCAGTAACACCTGGCATGCATGGGGCGCTGGGTTCGATCCTCAGCACCACATAAAAATAAAATAAAGATGTTGTGTCCACCGAAAACTGAAAAATAAATATTAAAAAAAAATACCGAGGTTAGAAGAACAGTCACAATAGGATGACTTAAATAAACTAGAGAGGAGGCTTGCTGAATTAGTGATGTTGGAAATGGTAGAATTTTAGGTGGCAATTAGATCCAAGGTTTGAAGAGGACATGGTCTGGAGGAAGTTGCTTAAGATGAAGGGTCTGAAGTATGAAATCACTGGGATAAGTGGGAAGTCGCATATGAGCTAAGTGGCAAACACTAAGGGTGAGCAAGGGAGAAGTTAGAAGATGTTTTAAATCTCAGATGGCATGAGAGTCATAGTTGCAGAGGGTTTGCAAGAGAGTGGAGAAGTCAAGAGGACATTATCAATTCTACCTCCTGACTTGAAGATTCTTGAGCTATAAGAAAATAAATTACTCAAGAGGGCTCTCAAGGGAAGCAGTATCTGTGGAGATGAGCCAGTTTTCTGTGAAAGCAGAGAGGTGGGGAGAATAATGGGAAAAGAGGTGGAAGATATGGGGAATCTACTCATTACAAAGCAGAAATTCTAGTGGACTTCAGGAAGGGTTGAACCAGAGTGTTCTGACCAGAAAGACTTGAAGCCTGGGTGGTGACCAAGGAAAACAGGGATGTGAGCAGAGGTGTATTTGGTGCTGACAAATCATTCTAATGGCATCTACTATGACCTGAAAGTGAGGCTTAGTGGCTCTGGCAAGAGGTATGACATTTCCTTTATTCATGGCCAGGTGGTGATGCAACTGTAGGTGGTCTGCAGTGTCTAACAGCTAGGACAAGTGGGCACCAGCACGTGGACTTTTATTCAGCAGAGGATAATGGCACTTGGGTGGGTTCAGTCTTGTTTTCTACATGAGGTTAATACTTTCACAGTTTTAGGGTCAGTGTTTTTAAAGGTCTCAACTGTCTGTCATTCATCATTGATAACCAGCTACATTTCTCTCCAATTGTTCTGCCTCTTTCCTTCCTCCTAAGACCTGGAGGGTATAAGTAACCATCTTTGTTTCTTATTCTGTTACCACAGTGTTTTGACTTCTGTCACTGCTTTCTCTACTCTTCCATCTTCCATTTCCATCTCAGTCTATTCTGCACACTACCCAAAGTGATTATCCTTAAGTGAAAATCTGATCACATTATTTTCTGCTCAAATTATTTTCTGCTCATCTCTCCCCTCTTCCTTGACTTTTGGCTAGTCTAAACTCTATAATGTACCTTAGAAAACTCTTCACAGTCTTACGGACCCCATGTGGTCTTACTCAGGCTTCTTTGTTGCAGCCAAGAAAAATCAATTTATGCTATCATAAGCAGAAAAGGAATTTTTAAAAAAATGATATAAAGTAACTCATTGAATTGTCAAGGGAGGCTAAGGAACAAGGCTTGGAAAAACAACAGAAGCTCAGGAAGGTAACCAAAATTGTGTTGCAACAATGGCCTGCTTAAGTTATGGAAATCAACACTCTCAGTTTGTTCACCCTACTTCACCTGCTACTGCCCAAAT